AGAGAAAAAGGGTCAAATATGGTTCACATCGAGATCATGAATGTGAAACCTGTTCCAACACTTGCTGCAACTGAGATGGTCATCAAAGTGACTATTCTTCCACTTCGTCTTCACGTTGATCAAGATGCTCTTGACTTCATCACTAGATTTTTCGAATTCAAGGTGGAATCGGATTTGGAACCTGAAGCTCCGGGCGAGAAACCATTTCTACAGCGAGTGGAAGTCAATTCCATTGATGTCAAATTGGATTTCAAGCCAAAACGTGTCGATTATTCTGGTCTTCGTTCCGGTCGCACGACGGAATTTATGAACTTCATGATCCTCGATGGAGCTGATCTAACACTCAGACACTGTATCATTCACGGTTGTTCAGGGTTCGACAAGATGGGCCAAGTCCTCAATGACATTTGGACGCCAGATGTCAAAGAACATCAACTTCCCGGTATCTTGGCCGGATTAGCTCCAGTCCGCTCAATCGTCAATGTCGGAAGTGGTTTCAAAGATCTTGTGGTGATACCTATGAATGAATACAAGAAGGATGGAAGAATCGTTCGGAACATTTCAAGAGGCGCCGCCATATTTGCCAAAACTACGGGTACTGAACTCGTCAAACTCGGTGCTAAAGTCGCCATTGGTGTACAAACTGTCCTGCAAGGGGCGGAAGGTCTTCTTGGGCCCCAAGATACCTCTCTATCCCACGGCAATTCCAGCGATGACGAAGATGAACGCAAGCAAATCTCGCCTTATGCCAATCAACCGGTTGGTGTAATGCAGGGCCTCAGGGGCGGGTACGCTAGCTTACAACGAGATCTGATCATGGCTCGAGATGCAATTATTGCAGTTCCGGGAGAGGTTATGGAAGATGGCAATGCGAAGGGGGTCTTGAAGGCCGTGAGGAAACATGCTCCTACTGTGATATTGAGACCAGTGATTGGAGTGGCAAAGGGGGCTGGACAAGTGTTGATGGGGGCTACGAATACTTTGGATAAGAAAAATCTGGAGAGGGTTGATGCTGTAGGTTTTATTTTCATGTTTTATATTTCTGATGAAATGATTTACTAACTTGATGTTCAGAAATATAAAAAGCATTGAGCTTCTCCCCGTGGCCAACTCACTTTTCATAAAGACTGCGCGAAATAGGAGGAAACGCAAGATAAACAATCGCGAATATTAAGGAAGGGGTTGAAATTGATGTCATCGTATATTTGTTTAAATTGCGAGATTGCACAAGTGCAAGCATAGCGAAGGGGGTTTCTGTATGAGCATTGAGAATGGTGCATTTTCCTTTTCTTGATTACTGGTCATTCTTCCTTCTCTTATAGAGTTGGCGGACAAAACCTGGAGTTATTTTATGGTTCTGGGTTTGGGCTAGGATTTTTTATCTACGGATTGGGTGCTTGGGTCGGATTGGGATGGATTATTTAGGACGGGATGGGATGGGGTAGTATGCAGAATAGGAGTGTGATGGGATGCGATTAGGAATAACAGGATTATATTAGATTGGTTTTGATTCTGAATTTTGAAGGGATTGGGGAGGAGGTGAGGGAATTAGGGAATGAGATGAGATGGGATGAGGAGGTACATGAATTTATGGTACGTACATATACATAATTAGACTATTTGGAATGAATTGAAATGAAATGAGATAAGATGCATAATTTATTTCTGAACGAGGGGTAGACTTGGTATCGTGGATTTTGAAGAGATGAGTGGATGGACTGTAATGGGTGGTTAGTAGTGGTGGTGGTGGTGGTGGTGATGGTGGTAATCATCTTCTTGTGAGCTCGTTGGGGGGTTGGTGAAAATTGGTTGGCTGGCTTGGATTAGATGGAGTGTGGGTTAGATGTAGTACATTTATAGGTTGAGTATAGTTAGTGTAGTTCTAGGTATAGTTCTAAGTATAATGCAGTGCAGTGCAGTACAGTACAGTAAGTAAGTAAGTCAGTCAGTAAGTAAACAATTCAGTGATAAACCCGATAGGATATGACGTGATAGGGAAATAGAATGGAGGAAAGGAGGATAGGTTTTTGATAAGAGGGATTTGGTTGGAGGATAGATGAGTAGATGGGTAGGTAGGAGGTGAGTAGATGGGTAGACGGTATGCTTAAGGAGAGGGGTGGTATTGGTGGTGGGTAGGTGAGTATAATTAGTATTCAAAACAAGGGAGAGGATGGATTAGAGAGAGGGGATGGGATGGGATAGGATGGATAGACGAGTAGATATTGTAGGGATGGAATATATGTATTATTTGTGTTGTGTTGTATTGTATTGTATTATATACTTCTAGATACAAGGAGTGCTATCTAAAAGGAGAGGAGGGGGGGTATTTAGAGGAGAGAAAAAAGCCGGAATTGAATATTAGCGAACGAAGTCTTTCGATAATGTAATTGTTTCTTTGCATTTCGAAGAGTAAAGGAAATGAATGGTGTTCTAAAGTAAATAGTATTATGAATATAGGGTTTCTGGGGTTCATTTGGTGCGGTCGCTAGGTAGATTTAGTGCTTTTTTATTTCCCCTGGGTATGAGGGATATTGAGTAGGAGTTGAGCCTGGAGAACAGGGGCAATTGAGTTGAAGCTGTGGTCTCGATCAGGAGATTGGAGAGTTTTGAGATGTAAGTACCTAGACAATCGTAAATAATTGATCTCGGGATGTAATTCATGCTTTCATCAAGGCTTATTTATGTATCTAGAGTAGCAATAACCTAAGGTTATTCATGTTTTTCCGGGGAAGCTGGAGACGAAGATTGCAAAACTCGCTTGTATTTGTCACTTTGTTGCATATCTGAAGGTCTTGGTATTAGCTCTATATGTATATGTTAAGCTAATGTATCTAGACGTAGATATTAGATTGGCGATTCGGGTTCTTGTTTGACGATGCATGGTTCGAATAACTGTACAGACGTCGACGGATTCGAGGCGCATATTGCGGTTCTTCGGATACTATAGCGGTGCAGATGGCATGGCGCATGCATGAAGAGAATCGATAAAGGAAATCGTGGACGGTTTGACGCCGCTGCTGCCGATCGAACCAAAGGGATTGGGTAATGCAGGTTGTATGCAGGTTGATCGAAATGGAGAAATTTATTTCATGGGTAGTGAGTCAGGATGCCTTGGGTGTGGAGTACCGGTAAAGGATTGTAGTATTTTGGTACTATCGTGAATGGTCTTGTCAAACCTTTGAAAAAGTTGATTCAAAGCTAGTTGATTATCAAACATATGATGTATGTGGCAAAAGTATCTAGTTTTGACTGTGTAGAATAAAGTTTGATGTACTCCACAGGGTCAATGGCGACTCAATGCCGATGTACTCCGTTTGGCTTGCAAGCTAAGAAAATGTTAATCGAAAAATCGAACAATCGAACACTTGTGGCTACATCTTTGGTGTGGTGGCTAGTGGCGCATGGAGTAAATAGCCTCGTAGCGTGCGTGGCATGAGTCAGGGTGGCTGAATGCTTCATAATCCACTCAGTCGTGTGAAGGAGAAATGTTCGTGATTTCAAGCATCAGATAGTTTGTTTCTGAATTGCTTCATCCTAGGAGCCATGTTTCGAATGTAGCTGAGTCGAGGGTACGAGAAAGAAGAACAGATGTTCTTTGGGTCTAATCACACCGGTACTCAGAAGATTCAGAAGACTCAGAAGTTGCGAGATATTTGGTAGATTATACGGAGTCCCCAGTAGTGTGATGCCATTGATGAGAGATAAGGCGGAGTTGCTTTTCCTGGTAACCTTCACTTCGGGGTTCAGGGCCTCTTTTTGGAAAAGGGTACCGATATATGTCAAGAAATACCGTAACAATACTTTTCCGAGGCTTGAATGGTTTGATTAGATAGATGGTACGAGGAGGAGCAGTCGATGGTAATATAGTGCGGTATATACGAGAGAGAGTATGTAATCAATAAAAGCTAATCCGGAATTCGATACAATAAGCAAGGCATTTTCTGGAATCTGGTCTTTTGGTTCAATCATGTGCCGTAGTCCGACTTCTCCATCTACTCCGTATACCTTTGTACAACGTGCCTAGGTATGCTTGATAGATGGAATTGGCGATTCAGTTCTACGCCATGAACTTTCTTTGAGATGCTCTACCGGCGGTATGAAAGATGATCATCTTGCGCCAACCACCAATTTATGATGATCGGTACTGTAATTTCAAGTCATTATTAGATCGCGTATGAGTGATTAATAGGTTCCAGATAAAGAGTACATGAAGAGTACTCTAGACCGAATAATGATATAGGGATGAAAGCATGATGTATTGATATATATCAATCTTTCCATGTCCAGGTCTTTCCTTGAGCTTTCTGGCTCTATGGAGAGGAAGTGAGGCGAATTCATGGGAGTGGAGAGAGGAAGAGGGAGTGGAGAAAGGGAGAGGGAGAGGAGTCCAGGAGACTTGGTCGTACAAGGAGAGTGCGGAACTAAAGGGATGAAGTGTGTCTGTATTACAGAGACTAGTGCTTTCTAAGGCTAGTGACCAGCTAGCCTCGCTAGCACACGCTTCTAATCGTGGAAGGGTGGATCTAGGGGACTCTTTAGATCATCGCTAGACTCTCATGGGTGTTTAAGTATCAATCACACTAATTATCAATCCCTCGAGTGAAATGATGGCATACATACCTGGGTAGGTGCTTCGTACATTGAACTCTGAATGGAGCCAAGCCAGTCTCTTTAGTTCGCACCCATCTGTTCCATGATACTTCGTACATGGTGTAGTACATACCTAGCTGCTGCCATTTAAAATTCGATCGGATTCCCATTCACAAGTCAAGTACTTGTTCAATAACTCACATTCCATCCCACTTGATCACAAACCATAACCCGACGAAACGAGACCATCTTCTTTCATCGCCCGTCAAGGAATAAAAAGTCGACAACAAACAGCTGCATTAAAGGATAATCCGACTATCGAAATCAAACCCAATAACCCGATACCGCCTCGACTCCCGCCGTCAGATAAGACTTTTTAGTACAGTCCCAGTCCCAGTCCCAGTCCCAGTCACAGTCACCAGTACCAATACTTACGGTAGATTACGTTCTCGTCTCCGGTCCTCGTCACAAGACACCCAATCGCATTGTCACCAAGAACCTTCGATTACTTTCTTCTTACGAATACAAGTACAACGAATACAACTAAGACAACGAATCGTCTTTCCATAATCAATTTCCAATTCCATTCAACAATTCCCTTTCTACATTCATCAATACAACTCTTCGAATTCATCATTAATCTCATCGATAATACTCAAGTCCTCTTCAATTAACATACATACCATTAATCATCCATCATGTATACTCCTTCAAGCGCCACTTCATCCAGATCCGCCTCCCCAGAATTACAATCGGAATCAATGCAAATCTTTGTTAAAGTTTTGTCCGGTGACAGTATGTTTATTCCCACATCCATTCATTCTTAAACTTCCCCAACTAACTCACTATTTAGCTATACCCATAACTGTTCCCGAAGACACCACCATCTCAAACCTCGCCCATCTCCTCTCTATCCGCACATCCTCACCATCGTCAACGCTTCGTCTCGTACACGCTGGAAGACATTTACAGCCATCTTCCACTCTCACCTCGAATAACATTACTCGAGACTCGACAATCCACGTTGCAGGAACACTGAGAGGCGGTATGCCACCTAAGAAGATTAAGTGTAACTACAAGGACTGCGGAGTGGCAGCACAAAGAATCGTAGGACACTGTGGATTCTGTGAAGGCGAATTCTGTGGGAAGCACAGAATGTTGGAGGATCACAAGTGTGTGAAATTAGAAGACGTGAGTTGCCCTATCTATGATGTATCTCCTGAGTCTAGTGCTGGGGAATCTGTTCTCCGAGAGGTATCCGATGGACCTAGAATGGAAGAACAGATTCAATGGTGGCAAGTTGGATTAGGAGATGTGCTCTCAGAAATCATGTGCGAAGATGGAATTGTGGGCTGACTCATCTCATTACAGTGCAAGAAGGAATGTCATGACCGAAATGCAGCTCAACTAAATGCCGAGCGAACCCAAGTCATCAAGGGTATCTAGGCACCTCATTCTCACCTGAGAAACGCATCCCGCCCGAGATTGTATACCGAGGGACAAGAGACATACCTGCTCGATCGGCATTTTGACCATCGAACTCTACTTTACATGGAATCCATGTCAGTAATCTAGGTTTCCCCAAAGTCGCTTTTAGCCACCAGCGATAATACATCTCGGGTCGAGATCACCTCTATTCACCCGCTCAACATACCAATTCTCTTCGTTTATATTATGGGTTTTAGCGGGCGTAAGGAACTAGCATATTTAACATCTTCGCTTCTGTTCCATCAATTGCGTTTTCAAGTCCATCTATCTCTATTTCCTAGTGGCTATTGGGAGTTTTGATGGTTTTGATGCGATTAAAGGGGTGGTTGGCTTTAGGTGTATGGGTGGTAATATAGTTGAGATTATCTTTCATGGGAGAGATAGGGTCGATTTTTTATATAGTTTTTGAATCAAATTACATATCCGCTTTTTTACAATTTAGCATTTTGCATATTTGCTGGATGTTCTTGCCTTGTCGTTGTCGCCTTGCTAGTTGGCTGTCCTTGGCCCCTGTGAATGATGTATTGCGGCTTTGAAACTTTGCGTGAGTACACGATCTCTGTGCAAAGAATTGTTTCCTAATATTATTTCTTTACTTCGTAATTATCATTTTACCTTTTCAATATAATTTCTCATTTCTATTTGTAGTCTTTTCGTGTGTTTTTTTCGCCAGTACTGTTTATCATGACGGCTCCTTTTAAGGTTTACATGGTGACGTCAATGTTAAGGGAGGGGCTAGGAAGTTATCACTTGTAGTCATGTCCGATAAGTGAGAAGTCGCCTTTTCTTTTCTTTTCCTTTTTTTCTCAATTACATAAAGTTTCGGGAATGTAACCTTACAGCTCAACTGGTAAATTTGCTTGGTAGATTCTATTTTCTAGTCAGTTTAGTGTAAGTTTGCAAGCGCTAGTAAGTTGACTCGTTTTATTCTCCTGGCGCGAGTGCCTTCATTGTTGAATCTGGATTGGAAGGAAACTCCGTCTCTTCAAATTTTCCAATTTCCTAGCAAGAATCTATGAGGCCCTTGCAAATATGCCTATACGAGAGGTATAAGTTTGTTGTAATGAGCTTAAGCAAAGCATCCCAAGAGCGACTGAGAAAGAATGGCAATATGAAAAAGATAGAGATTTGAGATTCAAATAAATTCGTGGTTCTTGAGACGACCGCATGTTTCCGTGAGGGTCGTAATGACATAGCAATGCGTCAGAGTCGGAATTTATCTTCATTGCTACTCACAATAAAAGAAAGATAGTACCTCCGAAACGCCTTCTCGTCATAATGTTTTCACCTTGACCAAAAAACAATCAAGTCATCGTAGTCTTCTTCTGTGGGCTCCTTGGGCTCTTCATCTTTTAAAATCTCGCTTCTCAAAATCCGTGCTCTTTCAATCCAACGGAGACCTTCAGGGCTGTGTTCGCTACCCATCTGGAGAAGATGTTTTCCTTTCAGGAAAGATGTACGCGCAACTTGGTTTTTGTACCAGTGTTTGCTTCCCCATATTCTCAAAGCTCGATCCAGATATTCCCTAGAAACAAGTTCCATCAGTGGGTTATTTTCAATGCTTTCAGCGTCAATTACTGAAATAACTTACTGCGCTTCAGCGTGGTCGTTCTCAATAATACGATGCCCGGCGATCTTGTGGCATAGATCGGCAACCCGGTGATGATACTCTCCCAGTGTTGATTCTAGCTGTTTGAGGCTTGCTTCGTGCAACATGCGGCTTTCTTGCATGAGAGAAACGTATTGGCTGGTCTCGCCGATCTTCTTTGCGACTTCGGCCTTGCTGGCTTTGACATTTCCGTGTCCGTGGAGAATACGCCCCGTTCTAAATCGATAGAAGCAGAGAGTTTAGCTTGCGTGCATAGGACTATGAGTCTGCATGTTAATTTCTGCTTACTTGTAAGAGATGTTGTCCATCTTTCCAAACTCCCGCTCTCGCTCTCTGAGTGCAGTGGCAAATGTATTATCTGCTTCATCAAGCTGTCCTTGCATCCAGTACGCAAGTCCAAGATTCGCAGCTGGAAACCCGAGCATGTCAATTTGAAAATTGTCTAAGCTTTGAAAGATCATTATGCTCTTCTTAAAGTATTCGGTTGCTAAGGCAAGCTTGCCGATCATCATGTACGCGATACCGATCTGGCTATTTGCAGCTGCTAGTCTCACATCAGGCTTTCCTTTCACTTCAAACGTCTTGATTCGCATATCTAAAAGAATCAAATTGTTGGAAAGACACCCAGCGCCATCGTTGGTCTCATTCGCGATTGCTCCAAGGGTATAGTATATATCACTCAAAACTTCGAGATGATCAGGGGGTTTCTCTGCTACTTTCTCATATAGTCGTAGCGCGGATTGTAGGTATGGTTTTCCTTCGAATGAGAAACCACGCTCATGCAGATAACTACTTAATTAGCAAGCAGCAAGCTTCACATTAAGTTTGAAAACCACTCACGCGCCACCTTCCTGAAAAAGCCTGACCAATTCCACACTATATCTCTCATGGGACCATGGTTTTTCGTTGGACTGATAAACTTTGTGAATGTGTTCAAGGTGTGAGAAAACTGCTTCACAAGTGACCCATCGACTTGTTTTGTGACGATTCTCCAGAGCATCATTGAATGGCCATGCTCGGCATATAATATGGACAGCGTCACAAAAACTGCTGTATAGCTCTTCTGCGGGGATCCAGGTTCTGGCTTCTTGTGCTATGATGCGGTGGATCGAAAGCTCCCTTCTGGTTTTGTTCCTTTTAATGATAGATGAAGATAGGAGTGCATCTTTTGCTTCTTCAAAGTCTTCGATGTCATCAAAAAAGACGGAAGGTTCGGTATCGCTGGAAGGGACCACAAAAAAGCTTTCCTGGATGCGATCAGGACTCAACACAGACAGGATCCGAAGTAGCCTGAGGGCTTGTGCATCTAGATCTGCAAAATTCCAAGCTGTTGCCAACATGCTTCCATGGCGAAACTGCTGCAGGGTCTTCTTGGGATCTCGCAGCTTGGGATAGTTAGTGTGATAATTTTCCATGAATTGCTGTAGCGACCATTGCCGGCGACGAATCACGCCTCCCATGTGTACAATAGCCAGCGGGTGACAGCCTAGCTCACGAGCCATATCAAGTGCGGCCTGTTCTTCAGGTTCACTAAGGTCACAGCCCGTCACTCTCCGGATAAACTCGGAGGCTTCTGTCTCCGGAAAGGGCTCCAAGTCCAGTCCGGGTATAATGCCACTTACGACTGATGCAAGTGGATCTCTGCTTGTGACCAAAACCGAGCCACGACGGGCCAAGCCGCCATGCGGCCAGTAGTCGGCAAGCAGATTGATGTTGTCCGCATTATCAAAGATAAGCAACCAAGGAACATCAGTATTAGCAAACCACCTCTTCGCAATTTCTCGATTCGCAATCAAATCATCGGCTTGCCCAGCTGGTTGTATCTGAAGAGTTGAAGCAATCTTAGCGTAGGAAGAAGCTAGCTGGGCCGGTTCGGCCGCATCGATCCAGAACATGGCTCGGAAATGATCCGTTTGCGCATAGAACCACTGAACGGCGAGCTCTGTTTTCCCTACTCCACCCATCCCACAGAGAGCATAGTGACGGGGTATCGGGGCCTGTGGGCTTAAGTGACTGTCGAGTTCATGAAGCTCAGCCGTACGACCAAAGAAATCGGGATTCGAGGAGCATCTTGGAAGAATTCGAGCTGGCAGCGTTCCAACTGCTGACTCGGTCGAGCTTGAAGACCGCCATGAAGGAGCGGTTGAGGAATATTTCGATATGTGAGAAAAACTGGAAAAGGAGGAGCTATCAGTATTATCAAGCCCTGAAGAGTGACTGCCTATTAAAAGCCCTGTTTGGCGGGGCTGTGGAGTCGGAAGCGCCAAGGAGCCCGAGTGGGGTACGGGTGCAGGAGCATTGCGCACAGATGATTCTGTGTTCGACGGTCAGTCTTATATATTATACAAGCGCAGCACCTCGGAAGAAGGAAATGTTGACACACTCTTTGCGGATTTGAGTAGACCTTGAAGAAATTCAAGAATGCGATGGGTTGCGTTTCCCAGCATATCGAACCGGCACAGATCTGCGTGTGCAAAGTCAGACTGATAGCTCTCCTCTGCGGGCAACGAGGTTTTGGCGATCTCCTCGTCAACCAAGGTCAATGATTTTGACTTGAACCAACCCACTCGCGTTTCCTTCCCGTCGTAAACCGATAAGACAGGTATTGGTAGCCGAAAGGTTTCGAACTGCAACGCGATGCTGCAGATCTGGCTTCTGCCTGGGGGATCGTTAGCACCACTGGCTAGTGAAATGGGTTTGAGGCAGCCTTTTTTCCCGCTGTCAGCGAAGCGTGCGATAGTCGTGTATCTTTCTAGTGTCTTTTGGTCAGTCTTAAAGTTATGGGGAGTCCCAAGGAAGATGATCCCAATAATACTGTCAAGAACGGCTTGAAAATAATCTTTCCGCGCACATGCGAGATTTAATGCCTGGACGAATGAGTATAGGTGTCAACAAAGGAATGCAAGATAGAACGCAAACCTTCTTCAACAGAATACCACCCAGACTGTGGCAGATAAAAATGCACCGACTATCCGCAAATTGTCGTTTTTTTTCAAGGAGAAGATCAAGCAATCCACCACCAAACGCCAGCAAGGCTTCCCAAGTCTTAATCTCGTCCAAGGTTTCACCGTACTCATACGATAAAATTGAAACTTGGGCCACTGATTCAAAGCTCTTGGGCAATTTTTCCAGCGCTGCAGTAAGTCCCCAGTGTTCGACCGAAAGCAATCCACAACCAGGGATGGCAATGATACTACCGTTAGGTACTGTAAGTATATTGTTTCTTCTATGAGGACGATTGGTTGGATATTTTCCTTACAGAATTTCGATACCGTTGGCAGCCGGAAATGGTACACGGCCTATTTCCCGAAGTACAAGACCCTGTTTCATACTATGCATTCCCACAATCAATTACATTAACGCAACTAGAACATGTTTCGCTGAGAATATATGGTAATTTAGAAGGATGAAACGCCTTCATTTTGGGTTAGATTATCTTTTGTTTGGACTTCATACAGTCGCGTCTACTCGGTCTGGCTATCGACGCAGGTCCACTCATTGAAGTACCTAGAGTCACAGAAGAGCAGCCATGCTTATTCGTTCTTAATTGGTAATCAGAATGTGACCACAATGGTTTTATTGCATCGAGATCCTGCAACGAGCCTATTTGAGCTAGAAGCATGCCCAACTAGAGAAAGTGTGGCCAGGATAATACAGCTCCACAATTTGCTGGTTCACAAGTCGACAATCACTTCGGATCACCTTTTATCACTTCAATAGTCTGCAGTGAACAAAGACTTGAGATTACAGCAGTATTCCAAACTTCACCGGTAGTTCCACTCGTCGTTGATCTGATATACTTTGAGCGGGGTGATTATTACTGACTTTTACGCATTTCTCAAACTTGACAACAAGGTCGAGAATATTGCTACAATGCAAAACGTCCCAGCTCTTCAGATTGTTTCCTCCACTTCACAGCCAGTGCAGTCAGAGTTGAAATTCCTCAAGCGAGACTCATTGTGGAATCACGAGAAACCTTATCGAATGCGGTACATACCGGTCGGAGATATTCCGAACACCAATTTTATCATAGAAACGGTTCCCGTCAACATATATAATATGCGACCAGCAATACCAACCCTTTCGCTCGATAAGAACGGGTTTGAGATACACGACATTTGCAGTGATCTCAGCTACGAGGAATTTTTTGACTATGACAAGGTCCATACTGTATACATGAAAGAAATACAGCAGATGGTTATGAGAGTATGCAAGGCCAAGCATGTATACCCACTTGATTATGAGGTAAGCTACTACAGACACCCTCCCGGAAATCACACTAATGTCTTTGGAGCTTCGACGACGCCATGAGAAGTTCCCCATTTCTACTGGGAAATCGTATGACTTCGGTCAGCCAAACTCACTCGTACACATTGGTATGGCTGTCTTCCGGGTATCAATATTGGCAGTATATAACCTGTGACAGATATCACTCTCGATGGAATTAAGAATATTGTCAAAGAAGTTTACGGACAGCGTGGCAATGAGATTCTGAACTCAAGAGTGCGGTGTGTCACGTAAGTCACTCTTGCTAGCTATCCTGCTTCGAACTAACAGTACTAGGGTATGGAAACCATTGAAAGGACCAGTTATGGACTGGCCGTTAGCGTTGTGTGAATCAAAGTCTCTCGAAGATGCAGATATCGTGCCAGCTGATGCTGTCTACGAACAGGTTGTTGCAGAGAACTGCATGGTCCATCACAACCCCGCACAGTCATGGTATTATCTTAGAGAACAAAAGCCAACAGAGGCTCTGATATTCAAGGCTACCGACAGTAACGCGGAACTAAACAGCCGTAAGCCTTCTTTCCTCCTACTATCACCCCGATGTTTCAAATCTGACCATTACTTAGGGTGCGCACATGGATCTTTCTACCTGTCCGAGACAACAAACACATTTCCCCGGGAAAGCATTGATGTGCGAGTTCTGGTCATGGATGCAGATATTGATTATCCCGCCGAGGTAGAATGGTTTACATAAAAGCATCGTGCAGGGGAGATTATGCGATGTAACCTACTGATTCCATACTAAATAAACGACCTCTATTGCGATCACTTGCAGATGTGGGTGTGATTGAAAAAGCCTGAAAATTTGCAGCACTGTATTGAGATTTTCTTAGTTAACCAATTGGCAAGTCATAAAGGAAAGTGTCGTTGCCCTGGTAAAGACTACATAATGCAGTTGGAACATTCCACAAATCAAAAACAAACGCGTCCGCGTACTCGCATAATAATATCGATAACTTCCAAACCCTGTCATCTTTGCTTGTAAGAGGTGCACTTGAAAAGGCGCCCCTTTAACGAAAGCAAATCAGATCTCTTGCCACCAACAGAAATTAAAAGTCTGCTTAAAGATAGTCCTGTAACATCCAAACAAAATTCTCGATTTTCCCGACGGATCGTATGCGGACCAAACGAACAAGGGAACATTGTAGCATGCATAATCGTTGACCGTTGATTGTTCATTCTTGAGAATTGCGGCTGTCATACTTGGCTGCTAGCTTTCGCGGTTTACTAACAGTGTCTCCGGTTTCGGTAAGGATCGCACCCTTGGGACAGCCATGAGATGGCAAAGAGGTGTCGATTTCTCGTGGAGGCCAGTCGGCCTTCCATGGTTGATTCTTGGAAGGAGATTCTTGGTTGTTGGTATTAGGTTCAACTGCCATATTCCGCGGCTTGCTAACAGTATCTCCATTTTCAACGAGGATAGCGCCTTTGGCACAGCCATGAGATGGCAAAGAAGAGTTGACTTCTTGCGGAGGCCAATTTGCTTTCCATGGTTGGGTCTTGGAGTGTGAAGCCATGTTAACTCGAATGTCCTGTAGTACTCTGTGCTTTTTTTTTTTTGCACGTATCAGACAATCAAGTGAGATTGGGTGAACTTTCAGAACAGATAAGGGCGGTTATGGTTCTTGAGTCCAAAGTTGCAATGTCCACAATGGCTTGCTGCGGTCGAGCATATATATAGTTGGGATTTCTGCGCCAACAGCGGTGATGATGAAATTTATCCTTCCACTCTCCCTTTCTTGATTCTTAGAAGAGCCGCAATCTGTACTTACAGCTGTAGTGTGGTTGTTAATTTACACCAATATTCATCGCCGATGATATAATTTAGAAATACCGGAGGGTAATGCACCGAGGCTAGCAAAATAGCCCCAAAATCAGATTTTTGAGGTTGTACTAGTTATGCAACAGCAACCTCAATGATTTCCATTCGATGGTTTGGGTATACATCTCCTAGATTATACCGAAATTGATGTAGGCACACCTGCTCCCAAAAACTTTTCCAATGTTTGGTACCTAGGTATGTATATCTGAATTACTAATGGGCTAGGGATTTTGGCATTCGTTTTCGAGATTTAGATTTAGCCTTGGCTATATCTCAATTCCATGAATTGAGCTTAGGTTTCTGTATCGGTTTCAAACCAGGTTCTAATCGATTGTTCTTTTCCTCGAGAAGACCCGGATCCATAATCTAAATGATCAAATCACTCAATCATCAATCGGCCACTTAATTAATTAATCCAATTGGGTAAACTAAAGAAAAGAAAACTACCAAAGGATTCACCAGTGTTACATCTACTCTCATGCGCTTCCGAAATTCGAGGCGCTTATAGTATTCAAGACCAGGCAGCTTTCTTCAAAAATTCCAAAGTATTGTGCATCAGAACTTGTTCTAATATAATCACGCCAACAAACTTCACCAGAAAATCCTATTGGTGTGCTGTTCGACGATTCAAGCCACTGCGATTTCCCCTGTCATAGTTTGTTATCAATCTGTCTCCAAGTATCAGACCTTTCTTCGTGAACTGTTTAAAACTATGGCGGGTAGAGCTTCCCAGCAGCTAGATATACCAATGCTGAAATCATCTTCATTGATCGATTCAGAAGTGATGGTGACCATAAACAATCTACAATATCTGTTGATTGATTGCGTATGTTACATTCGGATTTTACATCAATCACACCGTATGATTAACTGAGTTTCAGAAACCACAATCCTTCCTCAACTTACACTCGGATCGTGAGAACATTGCAGCATTCGTAGTTGTCTCTGTGAACAGTGGCGACAAAATTGATGAGAAAGATCTCCAAAAATTTCGTTCCATTTATCTAGACCCAGACGACATCTTTCAACCGGCCTTTCTGAACCAGATTGTCTTTCTAGGTGCAGAAGAGAATGACATCGATTTGCAACCTTCTGCGCTTTCTCTTTTTGCCAAATGGAATACGAAAGAACGATATTTCGTGTCTTCTCAGAACAGAAAAGATGATATTGCACCGGGTCCTTACATTTTGTATCGAGGTCGGATCTACGAGCCTTGGAGAGTTTATAATGATGATAGCCTCTCTATGATGATCTCATTCAAGCCGATGGGTGGATATGAGAAGAGACAGTATGCCTTCCCATCCTTCATTGTGTTGATGAATCTCTAGATTTAATAAATACTCATAGAATGCTTGCGGAGCTTGACAACACTTCTACTGCAAACCAAGTCCGGATGGTTGTTCCCTCCCGGTCCTACTCAGTCATAAAAAGCTCAGATAAGCCTCTTTCGGGTGTCAGAATAGCCGTGAAGGATATCTTCGATATCAAAGGGTTCAGAACCTCGCTTTGTAATCGGGCATGGACTGAATATCACGCTCCAAAATCCGAAACAGCTCTTTCTGTTCAACGACTACAAGATTTAGGTGCTGTGATTGTTGGTAAGACCCGCTTAAATGCAATGGTAGTAAGAGAAGAAACCATGGAATGTGTTGAATTTTTGGCTCCATTTAACCCAAGAGGTGATGGTTACCAGACTCCATCTGGAAGCAGCACTGGTAGCTGTGTCGCTGTTGCTGCTTATCCATGGCTTGACTTCGCTCTTGGCTCTGATAGTTAGTATTTTTGCGAAGGTAAAAAGAAGCTTAGCCGCTGACAGAGGTTATGATCTAGCAAACGGCAGTTGTAGAAAACCTGCTTATTGGATGGGATGCTTTGCCATTCGTCCGACAACTGGGGCTCTAGATACTCATGGTGTTGCGTCTTTCTGCCCGTCAGTTAAATTGGTCTTTTCCGCAATGTAGCTAATTTACTTTACAGCTACTTCGACGTACCTGCCTTCTTTGGGAGAGACATTTCTCGTTTTCGTGACTTTGCCAATCTATGGTATGGCAGTTCGCCTCAAATGGTAAAGTCTGGGGTAAATTTGAAAGTGGGTCTCCACCAAGCTATACCTCTATTTCGCTAACCATCTAACCAATTTAGGCTCCGACTACAATTCTTTATCCCCTCGACTATCTTCCAACCTCAAGCAAAGCTCAAATGGACTTGATAGATTCGTTTGTAGGAGATCTCGAGGGATTTCTCGGTGTTAGAAAAACTGAAATATCGTTGGCGGAAATGTGGCGCAATACCTCTCCGAAGTCTGCTGAAAACATAGAACTATCTGACTATCTGGAAACTGTGAGCTACATGATATAAGTTTTTCGTATTGTACTAATCTTTCGAGGCCGGAACACTCCCATATTACAAGGACGCATGTGGGAAATTAGATGGGTTCGTCGAAGGGTACAAGAAGAAATTTCATAAAGCGCCGTTCTTTCATCAGGCTTTACACTGGAGATGGTATGCACCAATTCTTTTACTTTTATCCCTTCATCTTCATAGATGCGGACTGTACCTAATGTAGAAAGCAGGGAACAAGCAAATAAGACCACGCCAGAGGCACGTGACGAAGGGTGGGAGCGCATCTACACGTACAGGAAGTGGCTTCTCGCGAATGTGTTCAAAGATGGAGCCATAGTAGTTCTTCCTATTGATGAGGGCAAGCCCAACAATCGAGAGAACCCACCACCGTAAGCTCTCTCGTGACAGATTCCGTCTTGTCTCTGATCTAACTGCTCTCAGCCCCTTCGGACTATTAAGTGGTTATTCTCCTCTCTATCTATCACCAATAGCAGGCACTCCTGAAGTGACTGCCCCAAGTAAGTAAATTGGATTTAATCGGATAATTGTGGATTCTAATTGCTATTTTAGTTGGTGAAATCACATATTTTTCACAAGTAACACAGCGAGAGGAGCCGCTTCCTATTAGCGTTTCAGTTGTATCTTGTCCAGGTTAGCGCTCTCATTGAACTTCCTCAAGCTTATTTGTTGTTAAAATTTGTATGCAGGTACGGACCTTGATCTTATCGATCTTGTGCATGAAGTCTTGAAGGCAGGAGGAAAGTCTGTGCGCGTTGCTGTGGGCAGGTCTATTTTTGAGAAATAATTCCGAGGCAACGCTGCGTTTTGAAATTCACTTGGGAATTTGGGTTTATATTATTCCATTTAACTCCATCTAATAAAGAGTTATCCGTTCTCTACTTGAAAAAATTCCCCATATGTGTAAATATATGACTCGTCCTAGCTAGTCTACTGTAGCCCTTTCCAGGTCTAATTGTTGATTTGGTTACCGAGATTTGAAGCACTTCTTCGTCTTGAGTTGTAGCCAGCAAGATACCACAGTGCATACGAAAGTGCCACAACCCCCGCAGCCACAGGAGCAAATATCCATAACTGAAGTTCCCCCTGTCCAAAAACTGCAAAATTCATTCCAAAGATGGAGCATGTGAAGGTTAAAGGGACAAAGATTGTTGCTAATAATGTCAATTGTTCAACACGCTGTGCATTCGCGACACCTTTCGCGGCTTCTTGGAATGCTGCTGTATTCACAAGCGATTGCATGCCCTTCTGGCAACCTTTCGACAGTAGCTCGGCCCGCTGACTGAGATGTAAAAAGTCATTCAGTAAAAGGCCTCTCATACTGTCAGCGACCTCATGCTGAGCAGTGCCTGGGCTAGCTCTCGGCCATGCAAACTGATCTTGACTGCTTAGCACAAGAACAGTCTCTTTGATTCTATCGATATGATCATCGATAATCCTTCTTAAATATTGAAGATTCACCATTGAAGCTTTATTCAAGTTTTTTGACACTTCTAGCTCGTGGTTAATTACATCATTGATAATATTCAGAAACTGTGCTTCCGACGCAGCCGAAAGTCTAAACACATCGCTTATGGCGTAGAGAGTGTCGTGAGAAAATATCTCCTTATCTAGAAATTGACCATATTGAAAAGGAAGTAGGCACGCGTTCTGGTTTGCTTCCCATGATTGTATGGGTGCAGAGGGTATAGTTTCTTGGGAGCGATTATTGCAAAGAGAGAGGTAATCACGATGTTGAAGTATTGGAAGTATATACGTCGCCCAAGGATTGGTATTATCGTCGGGACACCACGGACCGGGAATGCTGTTACTCAAGTCGCGTGCATTGTCCATCCATATCATAGCTAAGATTGTTTACTGTTAGTGTCAAACTACATATAGTACCAGAGATTACGTACCATTCCACGAATCTGCGGTTTTGTTGATACAAATAGATATAGTCTGTTCGATGACGCTAAATCTACGACTTAAAATCGAGAAATTTCGCACAACCGAATCTCCGATGACTGCATTCGAATTCAGACTTATATGATATCTTCTTAATTTAGTGGCTGCTGCCGCACGCAAGTCTTCTATATCTTCTGGTATGGATGATATCTTTCTTTCGAGTTCGCAGATTGATGTAATATTCAATCGAAATATGTTTTTCATGTAGGATGGCAGGAGTGGAGTGGAGTGATGATTCATACCATTTCCCACTGGAAATAGTAAATGTCTTTGGTAGAAAGCAGGATCGACTCCGTACACCACAAAGACAGCACGTAGCCAGTCCGCATCTGGGAAACCACGTAAAAAAACGATGCGTGCTTTTTGGGTCGACTTCTGTTCATGTTTTTTGAATATCTCTATTCCCTGGGTATTGCATTCGAAAGCTGTAGATGGCACGCCAGGCATTCCAAGGTTATAAGTAATGAGAAAAGGCTCGGATGGTCGCGATTTATGAGGACTATTCTTGTAACTTGGCAACTGCTGAAGAAAGTTGGCCAGATAATCATAGTCGTTCCCCGGATAGAGTGCTATTTTCCCGTTCAGTTTAGAGTGATGTAGCACATCACTCTGTATGTTGTAAGAAGCTGCTGTAAAGATCAGTTAGTTTCAACACTTGAATCGAATGCACAACCTTTTCTAGAACAAAAAGAGCAGGTCCACAGATTTTTACCAATATTTGTGAGGAAACTTACTCATGATCCTTTAGTGCTTTGTAGACGCAGGGGAGAATTGTGAGTTATGGGATTGGCAATAGCTACAGAGGTCCTAATGGGTGATGGTATAATGTAGGCAAGTTATGTCCATTAGAAACTTATTGGTGTAAAGCCTTAGGAGATAAACTCCCTGATACTCTTGAGGCATACTTTAAAAGCAGCATGATATGCTTGAAGATGTATACTAGGTAATCTGGGTTAAGGCTGAGAACTCTGTTTCTACCAATTACCAAGGCTGTCATTCTGAACTCATTAGTTCATTGCTCATTACGATTCATGCCAAAATGAAGATCAGGCTATATATGGTTTGTAGAGATTGGCACTCGTCCAAAGCTACCTAACTTTCAACTTCCCTCCTCCCTCAGATTAAAAAAGGGTGTAGCAACTCTAGAATCTTGAATATAGAAAAGCACGCAGAAAGCAGTTTATGCAGAAAGAAACATGTGTGAGGGAATTTGATTAAGGCATCAAATCCCTGCAGTGTGTTGTACAATTGGCCAATGATTCGTATTTGCCTGAACAAATTAAATCCCGAAAGCTAAATGGCGTTTCGCTACACTCAGAAAAAGAAGAGATAGCCGGTTTATCTATTGAACAAGTATGCTTGAAGCTGACAGAGCTAACTGTTATTGATTCCCGGTAAAGGTGCATCTGCACATAGTGACGCCCGTTGTTACCCTCTGTTCAGCTCTTCTTGCTCTTCTTGAATGTTGCAAGGCTAACATTACCTAGATCCTCCAATATTGGTGTCGAATAAATGGAAGATAACGGTCGGAGTTTTTAATGAGAGCAAGTAAATCATAATCTAAAACCAATAAGAGCTGGGAATAGTGTGGTGTCTGCAGAGGTAGCAGATGGAACTCTGCAAAGAGTGGTAGATCAAGCGGCAGGTTAAGTAGTGTTCGGGCATGTGATGGCGGGGGAGCTAGTGCAATCAGAATCACGTGATGAAAACTCGATGGGAATTCTTTGTTTTGTGTTTATCATCGCTCTAAAGACACTACCACTAATGCACATCTTCATTGTTTCTATATTTACAACAATAATTGTACATATCCTAATCATTTATATTACCATTTAGCTATATAATAACAATAATCAATAATCATATAAAAATACGAAGTTCAAACCAAAATTATAAGTCCTATTCGAGACCCTCCAAAATACCCAACTTTACCATTACTTAATATTTCTAAACGAACTCTCCTGGGTCCTGTGCTGAAAGCACTGGAAGGTACCAATCACTCCTAGTATATAAAAGCCAGAGAGCCTCTCGTATTTTGCATCTAGAGAGAGGGAGAAAGTAGAATACTTCTTTGAGGACCATGCAAGTTCATTCTATTGGCGAAAAAAATTCTGGGCGGGATCAGAGGCAGAGGCTACGTAATTTTTTAAACTTGCAATTTTACTTCGGTTCGCATTGAATGCAGGCGGTATGATGTTGACAGCTAGGCCTGTGAAAGTTAATTATTCACATGTCTTGCTATATGAGGCATGAGGTAGCAGTAGCTTCCAAACCCTCTGAGTCCAATGAACAGCTATCGAGTAGCTTTATTTCTAAGCTTTGTTTTGATATTCGCATATCGATGTATAAGATATTAGTGGTGCATGTTGTAGTTCTCGAGGATTGACCATGGCTACGGAACAATCCAATGAAAGATAGGCAATTACTTCAACTTTGTGTCTTGAACCAGAAGATCATGCTAGCTGCAAACATCATGGCTTGTAGGATTATGCATACAAAAAGTGCGCACATGAATTAAGAATGCGAATGGATTGACCTAGGTTTCGGTAGGAGGCAGAAATGGCAGCGTATCAGGCATGGAAGAAAGCAGCACCTAGATAGTGGAATCTGGTTCTGCTGCTCTTGAGTTGCAAGCGTATGTAAGTGCTGCATCAATTTTAACATTTGGAGATAAAGACGAGGCAGATGCACCGAGTCTAGTTGATAATGAACTTACGATTTAATCGTGTCATGTACTCCCCTCAAACTTTCAATTTAGTCGGCATCAAGGCCGCAATTCGATTTCTATCACTGGTTTCGGGTTTGAATCTGGGGCTTCTTTGATCCCTCCATAGTTGCTATACCGCATACCATCCTCTCTTAGCGAATTTCACATGGAGCTCTATGGCGGCCCCATAAGACGACAGAGGGATGACAATCAATCTGCAAGAGAGGAAGCTCAAAATTGGATTGAGGTTTGTCACACTCTAGAAATGAATAACTTGGAGGAGTTGCATATCATTTTACATTGTTACACATTGCGTGTTTCAGAGAAAAGACTCTTGAAGCCTCTGATGATGATCGATAGTATCGAAGACTTTCCGGTAGATTTGCCTTGAGAATTGGAACGAGCGATTAATCCTCTTGACAACGAACAGGTTTTACCTTTTAATCCGAGAAAGACCATTGCTTGACGAAGATGCTGCACGGAGTTTATAAGTTCCAGGTCACCCTGACAGGGGAGGGCATAGATTACCGATGTAAAAGTTGGGCCGCTTCTTGACACTTCCATTTCATATACTTCGATGAGACTGAATGGAATGGATTGAGATTTCATAAATACAGTAGTAACTGTGGGATCGCAGCCGAGATATAAGCTTCTCTCACCTTCTTGACCGTTGACATGTTGGCCAAAAGAATGTCTCGTAATGGTCGATCACCCGTCTTGGAAATGGGACATTGAGTAATTACTTTCCAATCTGGGAATCTGCGAATCTACTCTTTTATGCAAATTTCTTATGCCACCACCCCTAGTCGCTGACCCCCCACTGTCAGCATAGAGTGCAATGACCTATCACACAGTAGTAATTCTATGGGCTCCAGTCTCCCCGATGAGTCATTTGGGCTGATGTAACAGTATAAGTGGAAGGACACCCGTTGATGTACAATAATTGATGTCCATGGGCAAATTCTACATTTCATCTCTTCTTTGTCTATCCTTCCTTTTTGCGATTACAGCATTGGTTGTTGTATAACGTGGTATTAAAGCAACAACAATGAATGAAAACAATCACATTGGTGAGTTCGCCATGGATAACAGTGGACAATGTTCTTTATAGATTCCCGGACTTGGTGATATATCTTTATTCAGCGAATTACCCAAAAATTCGCGATTTCGCCAATGATCAGATGATTGGGAAGAAGGGAAGAAGGATGGGTACCAAAGCCCCGTCTGACAGCTCGAGAGCTGGCCATGATAGGTCTCACCAATTTCTTGACCGATATGCCTAACTGGCACATAGGTGTTTTCAACGACAAAGATACTGCAATATGGCACGAAATGACTATGAAAAATAAATTGATAAGTGAGAAAGTTTGAGAGTGGCGTTTAGCTGAGTTGGGAGACAAGGCAAGGTTGTTTAGTACTACAAATCGTGTTCTTGCTTTGGATGCCGGAGCCTGTGTTTCCAAATTAGATAATACCGTACCTAAAGCGCCAATGAGAGAGTTGAACACGACTATCGAGGAACTGCGCGCTCAATCCGACAAAAATGACTGACATATTTCTCATCGGGATCAACAAGTTGTTAATCTTGTCGACCCATCATTGTATCCGCTTGTTTACGGAAAGACGAAAGTTTTACTGGAGGGAGGAAGAATTGGTCTGAATGACTTTTCCAAGTCATACGGGCATGGCATCACTACAGAAATTCCACAAGTCCACCCAAAGGGAAGCAATGTGGCAGGTGCTGCTAACGCACTGAAAAGGCTGGGCGTCCCCTTCTATAATGATGAAGATCTCTACCGCTAGTCAACAAACTACCAATGGCTTCCATTCGAGGTCGAACTTGATAAGACTTCTGACACTTCCGTGCGTGTTACCTCCTACATCAACAATCTACACCCTATTAAAAACAAAGGACTATACGGCATTATCGAACAGCTTGCAACATTAGGCACAGAGCCTTGGAATGATTGTTTGCTGAAACGCGAGCATGGACGCGTTCCCACCCGAATTAGAACACATGGCACAGTGGGCCAAGAGGAAGAACTAGGTGAATCTTTAGCAACGACCGAAAGGTCGAATGATAACGACCTCAATCATCCTGAACCAGGAACTGCATTCACATATGAAGAATGGAAAGAAGGAAAAAATGGTAAGTCCATTGTAGATCAAGCTGTATGGGAAGGCATTCCCGAGCATGCATGGCGCTCAGAAGGACGGCACAAGTATATTGACACAGCCCACGAATTCTACAGCATTTCCCTACAAGAAAGCTTTCGAGACAAAGGACTGCAAGGTTTTGTGCAAATTGGAAGTATCGACCTGGGTGAAAGGGATAAACAATTTCCTGGAACTGATTGGAACATCGACGGAACGCGGAGTGAGCATATTGCTGCTACATCTATATATTTCTACGATGTGCAGAATATAGTAAACATGCAGATTTCCTTTCGACAAAAAACTTGCGTGAGTGAATAGCATACCATCGTTCGGACGATGATCTTTTTGCGAGAACTTTTGGTATTGAGGAAGATGGGTAATATGATGATGAGGGGTTTCATTTTGCTCCTGCTACTAAGGATTTGGGCTCAATAGCTGTGGAGGAAGGGCGGTTATTGAGTTGGTCCAATGCGTTGCAATACAAACTTGAGCCTTTTACGAGAAGCAGTCTTACAGAACCGGGAAATGCGAAATTTATCAAACTTATGTTGGTAGATCCACACTATCGAATCTGTTCGACCCAGAATGTACCACCGCAAAGTCATGATTGGTGGGTTAATGAAGTCTTTGCAGAGGAGAGTTTAGGAAAAAAATTGCCAACGGAGCTCCTGAACATGATTGATAAAGTTGTGGATGTATGGCCGATAGGGAGGGATGAAGCGAAGAGAGATCGGGATAATTTACTCGAAGAACATCGCTGGGCGAAGGAAGCCGAGGTTCGTCTGGCGGAGGCTTGGTATGGGTGGTGTTGTTGTGCTCGCCATATGGCTGGGTATTGCCGAGATCATTGAGGGAGATGGTTGGGTATTCAGATATATTTGAGGTGGATATTTTCTGCAAAGCAGCGTTTTATTTTCTGTTGCATTAGGGGCTTGTGGAAACCACATGGAGAGCATTGAAATGGTAATTTTAGCTTGCTGTTTCTTTGGTACCACGAACACGAACTCATGGCTAACACCAAATACTAGGTCTTCTCTCTCAAAATTTCTTCCCATTCAGCAGCCTTCATCTACCATCCATCGTCAAACCTCACATGGACACCATTTTGACAACAAGCTGCAGATAACATCGGATACACAAGGGAGTGCAAAAGAACTAACCACAGCAATGAACATAGCTCCCACGCGCACAACAATTGAATCATATATAATTCCTTCAACAATGTTCCACTCGGAAATTTAGACACGGACTTAAGGCTGTCGATAAAAACCTAAAACTGCCAGGTCGTGCACGTAGGGAGAATCCCCTATGCATAATTATCTCGGAATATCCGCAAAGCACAATTGTCTGTCCAAACAATCAATGATGTCAGGAATATGCTGCACAGTCAATTGAGCTTGGCAGCATCTGATTTCTAATCAGCAGTAGCTGCTCGAGAAGCAATTGCAATAGGAAGCACTCGCTTCCATTGACAATAGATATTTTTACCACTTTTCGAACTCGACGATTCAATAAGGTTACGGCATTCGTTGCATTCCAAATGATTTTTGTCGATCCGAGTTAATCTATTTAATCATAGCATCATTGGAAGCCAATTCATACTTTGGGATGGACTGATTGATCAAAACCCTTAATTATCGTTCAAAGGGTCCAAGAGTTATACCCAATTGGCTGATGTCGATACGTATCATCGATATCAACGAGCGATCCACAATTATCTCCAAGCCAAGAGACCTCGGCATCGGTAAACAATTCCATCCCTCCTTATTAACCCAATTCTCATAAAACCTGAAGTGCATACATAATCTACTTCATCGGAAACCTGTCTTTCCTTACATCTCCATATTATTTTCATATCTAGATCTTTCTACCCCGATTATCAACAAAGCCGACGCTATTGCCCGAAACGGAGAACTCCATTTATGATAGCGCGGGGTTTGCTACACTCTATTCCTCGCTAGCAACCCTATCGACATCATTGTTTTTACTAGTTTGAGGATTCTCGTGTTCTTTCACAGGAAGCTTTGTTTACTTGCTATCTAAAACCATATGTGATTGGTGCCTTTTGCGGATTTAAAATAGCTTTACTTCATCCAGACTCTTTGGATTGGAATCTTCGGCCGAAATAGAGTTTGGAAAAAAGTGGAGTTCACTACATCACATATCATACCAAGACGCAGTGACCTGGATTAGATCATTGAATACATATACCATGTCTACACCCACGAAGACTCCAGCTTCTGTAGCTACAGATAGAATCCTCTCTCTAACAAATCACTTAAAAAACTCTTTGAATCCATCCGACGACTTACACAAAGCAAAAACAATGGCATCTTCATACAAATTTGAAGGATGGATGGCGTTAGACAAGGAGGCGGCTAAGGGAAACATGGTATGGCAAGAATTCGAGCCAAAGGCTTGGACGGAGGATGATGTCGATATTAAAATTGCCTACTGCGGTATCTGTGGGTCCGATATTCATACATTGAGATCTGGATGGGTATGTACTTCTTTTCTTGGACTATGGAAGTGAGAAATAACGATTTGGCTATAGGGCGCGACAAAGTACCCAGCTTGCGTAGGACATGAGCTAGCTGGTACTGCTGTGAAAGTGGGAAAAAACGTAAAGCACATCAAGCTTGGTGATCGATGCGGTGTTGGTGCACAATCAAGTGCTTGTCTGAAGCCTGAGTGCGAGGAATGTGCAAGTGGAATGGAGAACCATTGCACAAAAATGGTTGGAACTTATAACGGAGTTTATCCCGATGGTTCCAAGTCCTACGGCGGTTACGCAGACTACTGCCGTGCTCCATCGCATTTTGTTATCAAGATTCCTGATGGACTGTCTCTTGCCGAAGCAGCTCCTATGTTGTGTGGAGGTGTTACAACCTGGTCACCCCTTGTCAACAACGGAGCCGGGCCAGACAAGCGAGTCGGAATAGTTGGCATCGGAGGCTTGGGTCATTTTGGTCTTCTATGGGCCAAGGGCCTCGGCTGCAAAGAGGTTGTGGCAATCTCCCGATCAAGCGGAAAGAAAGCCGATGCAGAGAAGATGGGTGCCACCAAATTCATTGCTACAGACGAAGACGAAAATTGGGCCAAGAAGAACGCTAGATCTCTTGACTTGATCGTTTGTACCGTCTCTAGCCCTAAGATGCCAATCTCTGGATATCTTTCATTGCTAAAAACTAAGGGTGAATTCATTCAGGTTGGAGCTCCAGAGGATGTAATCCCAGCTTTGAATATGTTCGCCTTCATTGGAAAGGGAGTAAAGCTTGGAGGTAGTGCAATTGGTACACCAAAGGATATTAGTGACATGTTGGAGTTTGCTGCCAAGAATAACATCCATCCTTTCATTCAGGAGAGACCATTATCGGAGGCAAACCAAGCTGTTGTTGATATGGAGGATGGAAAAGCTCGTTACCGTTATGTTTTGGTTAACGAGAAGCATGCAAAGGAGTTGAAGCAATAAGCAATTTTGATAAATGTGTATAAATGTATATACATGTATATAAAGAATAATTGAAATAATACACAGGCAAGAGATAAAAAGTATCTATGTGAATCAGAAGTGTTATATAATCTCAATTTGGGAATAATAAATGTACACAAAGAACAATAAAACGATACGTATAGAAGAGGAGAGGGATATTCATAAACATTAGAAAGTAATCTAGAGTCCGTCCAATAAATGTCAGAGGCTCGATACTGGCAGCGATACTGGCAGCCATATAACGTTCAAGCAACTGTATAAGCTCCAATAACCAAACAAACTTTTTCCTACCATTCAACTCAATCCTGAACTTTAGAAAATCATTAACAAAATTGATTGTTTCTCATCACCATTTGAGGTCAACAAACCAAGATATCAAGCATACCTAATCATGTCAAGATACCTAGGTAGTGAGACTATGCAAGTAACAGAGCTTCCAAGGTTGAGGATTAAACTTTGAAAGAGATCAAGTCGTAGTGTTCTTGAGAATAAGTTGCTCAGTTCTCGTTAAACAATCACTGAACAAGTGGTGAATGCATTCCACAAGGCTCGCAGGAGAATACTGTAAAGGGGTGTTCTTCGGCTCGGCTATTAGTTTGTCCGAGCCCCACGCTAGTCTCAAAAAGCTAAGCTTGATTTGCAATTCTACGGTTTACACTTTTGCTTATATGCTCTGGGCAACTTCTTTGAAAGGCTTCCCGCCAGCTCGAATTATTTCTGTACCTTCATTAATCTCACCTTGAATTTTGAAACTTGAGCCTCAACATCAACAGAACCATTATCATCGTGCCAGTCTCCAAATTTCTTCAACTAATTTTTGTATGATCTTTATGCCACTGTTTCTTTGTTCTTGAGGTCCTTTTTGGTCCTGGGGACGCGCCAATCTTTTGTTTGAGGCGACAGCTCTCAACTTTGCCTTTGCGACAATTCCAACTACAACTCCGCATTCCATCAAACTTCCGATCTCAACTCGATTCGCATACAGATAGTGGAGTTCAAATTAATACAACATGGCTGATTACGAAGAGGGATACGAATATGATGATTATGGAGAGGAGGATGCAGGTATCACGGCAGAGGACTGCTGGACGGTTATTTCTTCCTTCTTCGAAGCAAAAGGTCTAGTTTCGCAGCAACTCGACTCTTTCGATGAATTCGTCCAAACTACTATGCAAGAACTTGTCGAGGAGAATTCACAGCTCACGCTTGACCAAAATAATCCACCTTCGTCCCACGACAATCCTATCGCACTCCGTCGATATGAAATCAAATTCGGCACCATCATGCTTTCTCGACCGGCTATGACCGAAGGTGATGGAAGCACACAAGTCATGTTACCACAAGAAGCTCGTTTGCGAAACCTTACCTATTCAAGTCCTCTTTACATTGAGATGACGAAGAGTACTCAAGTCGCTGTAGAGCGTCCTGTTCCTCTCAACGAGCTTGATGACGAACAAGAAGCTGAGATGGTGAATGGCGGAGAACATCCTACACGATTGGTCTGGGAATATGAGGATGGTGACCCAGAAGGCCCTAAAGGTGCTCCACTTCCAGAACAAGTTTATATCGGAAAATTGCCTATGATGTTGAAGTCGGAATTTTGTATATTGAAGGGTCTCGACGAAGATGAACTCTATGGATGGAACGAATGCCCTTACGATCAAGGAGGATATTTCATTATCAACGGAAGTGAGAAGGTTCTGATCGCTCAAGAGCGTAGTGCCGCCAACATTGTTCAAGTCTTCAAGAAGCCAGCGAACAGTGCAGTGTCATACTTGGCTGAAATTCGAAGTGCTCTGGAGAAGGGTTCGCGCCTTATCTCTTCATTGCAAATCAAATTATATGACAAAGGTGACAGCAACCGAGGAGGTTTTGGTAAAACCGTCAAGTCAACTTTACCTTATATCAAGGCAGATATCCCTATAGCCATCGTCTTTCGCGCACTTGGTGTTGTATCTGATGAAGATATTTTGAACCATATTTGTTACGATCGAAATGATACTCAAATGCTCGAGATGTTGAAGCCATGTATTGAGGAAGCTTTCGTCATCCAAGATCGTGAAGTTGCCCTCGATTTCATTGGAAAGCGTGGTAACGGTACATCTTTGACTCGCGATAAGCGTATCAAATACGCCCGCGATATCATGCAGAAGGAGCTGCTTCCTCATATTTCTCAAAAGGAAGGTAGCGAAACCCGAAAGGCATTCTTCTTGGGTTATATGGTTCACAAGTTACTTCAATGCGCTCTTGGTCGTCGGGAGACTGATGATCGAGATCATTTCGGCAAGAAGCGTTTGGATTTGGCTGGACCTTTACTTGCAAAGTTGTTCAGAAATCTGTTCCGTAGATTGACGACAGATGTGTACAGATACTTGCAACGTTGCGTGGAAAACAACCGAGAGTTCAATTTGACTTTGGGTGTGAAATCCACAACAATCACGAACGGTCTGAAATATTCTTTGGCCACAGGTAACTGGGGTGATCAGAAGAAGGCAGCAAGTTCTACCGCTGGTGTGTCTCAAGTGTTGAACAGATATACCTTTGCTTCAACGCTTTCTCATTTGCGCCGAACCAATACACCTATTGGACGTGATGGAAAGATCGCCAAACCTAGACAACTGCATAATACACATTGGGGCTTGGTCTGTCCGGCAGAGACGCCCGAAGGTCAAGCTTGTGGTTTGGTTAAGAATTTGGCTCTGATGTGTTACGTTACAGTTGGTACGCCAAGTGATCCAATCGTCGAGTTCATGATTCAACGAAATATGGAAGTGTTGGAGGAGTATGAACCACTCCGAGCACCCAATGCAACAAAGGTTTTCGTCAATGGTGTTTGGGTTGGTATTCATCGAGATCCTGCTCATTTGGTCAAATGTGTCCAAGATCTTCGTAGATCACACTTGATCTCTCACGAAGTTTCACTCATTCGAGAAATTCGTGACAGAGAGTTCAAGATTTTCACCGATGCAGGACGAGTGTGCAGACCTCTATTGGTTATTGACAATGATCCTGACAGCGCCAACAAAGGTAACTTGGTATTGAACAAGGATCACATTCGCCGTCTGGAGGATGATCAGTTGCTGCCAGCAAACATGGACAAGGATGATAAAGTAAAACACGGATACTATGGATTCCAAGGTTTGATTAATGATGGTGTGGTTGAGTATCTGGACGCCGAGGAAGAAGAGACCGTCATGATTACCATGACACCTGAAGATCTGGACATCTCTCGACAACTCCAGGCTGGTTATCAAATTCGTCCTGATGAAAGTGGTGATTTGAACAAGCGTGTCAAGGCACCTATCAATCCAACTGCCCATGTCTGGACGCATTGTGAAATTCATCCAAGTATGATCTTGGGTATTTGTGCAAGCATTATCCCCTTCCCGGATCACAATCAGGTAAGCTTTAAGTTCAATGAATTTATTCATTCAAGGCTAATTTTATTGCTACAAAGTCTCCTCGTAACTGTTATCAATCCGCTATGGGTAAACAAGCTATGGGAGTTTTCCTCACTAACTTTGATGTTCGCATGGATACCATGGCCAATATTTTATACTATCCTCAAAAGCCTCTCGCCACTACACGTTCTATGGAGTTCCTAAAGTTCAGAGAACTGCCCGCAGGTCAAAACGCCATTGTCGCTATCATGTGTTACTCTGGCTACAATCAAGAAGATTCTGTTATTATGAACCAAAGTAGTATTGATCGTGGATTGTTCCGAAGTTTGTTCTATCGAGCCTACACTGATCAAGAAAAGCGTATTGGTATGAACGTTGTGGAACAATTCGAAAAGCCATACAGATCCGATACTCTTAAGCTCAAGCAGGGTACATATGACAAACTTGACGATGATGGAATCGTGGCCCCTGGTGTTCGTGTCACTGGTGCCGATATTATTATCGGAAAGACCGCACCAATTGCTCCTGACTCTGAGGAAATGGGTCAGCGCACAAAAGCTCATGTCAAGCGTGATGCATCAACACCTCTTCGAAGTACCGAGAGTGGCCTTGTTGATCAAGTACTTATTACCACCAATGCCGAAGGTCTTCGATTCGTCAAGGTCAGAATGAGAACTACCAAAATCCCTCAAATTGGTGACAAATTTGCTTCGCGTCACGGACAGAAGGGTACTATCGGTATTACATATATGCAACAGGACATGCCGTTCACTAGAGAGGGTGTAGTTCCAGATCTTATCATCAATCCCCACGCTATTCCATCTCGTATGACAATCGCACATTTAATCGAGTGTCAATTGAGTAAGGTTTCTACTCTGCGTGGACTTGAGGGTGATGCTACACCATTTACCGAAGTCACTGTCGATTCTGTTTCTAAGCTTCTCCGTGCACATGGTTACCATTCTCGTGGTTTCGAGATCATGTACCATGGTCACACTGGTCGTAAGATGATGGCCCAAGTCTTCCTTGGTCCCACATATTACCAACGTTTGCGTCACATGGTCGACGACAAGATTCATGCACGTGCCAGAGGTCCCGTACAAATTCTAACCAGACAACCCGTAGAAGGTCGTGCTAGAGATGGTGGTCTTCGTTTCGGAGAGATGGAACGTGATTGTATGATTTCTCACGGTGCTAGTGCTTTCTTGAAGGAGAGATTGTTTGAGGTTTCGGACGCTTTCAGAGTTCATATCTGTGATATCTGTGGACTCATGACACCAATTGCGTAAGTCTATGTGCCATTTGAAAAAAAATGAAAAAAAGTTATGCTGACCTAATTATAGTAAAATCAATACTGGTTCCTTCGAGTGTCGTCCTTGCAAGAACAAGACAAAGATTTCCCAAATTCACATCCCGTACGCCGCTAAATTACTTTTCCAAGAATTAGCAGCAATGAATATTGCCACGAGAATGTTCACAAAGAGATCTGGCATTACGGTGCGCTGATTTTGTACGATCTAATTACGACTGGATGGGGGTAGACTATGAATTTCCTGGCAGGAGAAATCTTTGCATATCGTGGCGTTTGGGAGGGAAGAAAGATTGTGACCATTAAGAAGGGGCATTCAAATTATTTGCATAGGATGAAGAAGTTTGGTTGCGTTTCTCGTTCGCAGAAATGTTCTGCCAAATATTCTACGTCATAGTGCTGAAGATGCACAGAAAAGCATTATATTGGGCGCACATCATGAAATTGGATGGTGCTGCTGTATCATATTAAGATTTTTCTTTAGGCATAAAGAACAAGATAATAACTGATAATCTGATCGATAGTGTGGCTTGATCTCTTTTGTTTTTGTGAAAGTTCTCTTCAAAGTTCATTCATATCGAATCTTTTCCATGACCCATTCGTACAGGAATTAATACATCCCTTAGATTTTGCCCTCCATGCCTACATGTTCCAATCATAGAACTGATTGCTTGACATACTCAGAAACTCCCTCCAGGACTTCCTTTTCATACTCATACATATTGATCTGTAGTTTTTGTTGCCGTGCACCAGGTTTGTAATATACAATTCCCTCTCATTCATTGTTCAAACGAATGCCATAATTCGTAATCCCTAATACAGCACATATACTAGTTTGAAGCCGCGGCGGTAGATCACCTCGTAGTCCCATCACTAACACTCTGCACCTTCCTATATTCTTCTTCCATCGCCCGCTGCAAATCGAAATCTAACTGGCGCTCTTTCTTTATGCGCTGTTGTTCCATATCTCGGATTACACCTGCGTGCATTGCCTGTGTATTGGTTAGTATATGTACAGCTGGAATTGGAAATGAGACGTAGGGAAATTGAGATGCAGAACATACAGCTTTCTCGGCCGTCTGCGCATAATGTACGAAGACTATAGTGCCGGCGGCGAATAGTGAAGTGCCGAAGAGTGTTAATTTTGCTGCGCGAGACATTGAGTTGATTTGTTTGGAACCCCTTATAAAGAATTATGAGAAGTAACTCAAATTGTCTACAAATATATAATGTTCAGTTTGAACAAGACGAATATCTAAATCATAGAATGGTGGAGTGATTTGAGAAGCTGCAATCGATGCGATAGGCGCAGACGGAAGTTGCCGGACAGGGGTCTCTACACTGCACCAGGAGAGCTTGTTGCATCTGTTGGAGCTATCTAAGCTTGAACCACTCCAAATCCAACGTTAACTCTCCACTTTCTTCTTGCGCGACGCTGATAACGATTCGAAGACACGATTGATATTTGAAAGAGAAGATACCTTGAACTTATTGTATTGTTTTTGCAGAGAACAATCGGATTTGAAGATGGTATGTTTAGTCTGATGATTTGGATCGGGGGTTATGTTAGATGGGCATGGATGGGATGGAGGTTGGGTTATGAGTGCTTTGCTAATTGTAAGATGATAGTCGGCACAGAATTCGGCGGGTATTCAGACGTTGCTTGATGTATGTTTGGGCTCTGGGGTGATGAGAGGAGGATAGAGATACTGATTCAGAGGTTAGGCAGAGAGAGATGCGCAGAAGATTGTTCAGAAAGGTGAGTTGGAATCCTAGAATGTTGGTAAAGTCAAGTTATGTGCTAACGTTTCTATCTACAGCTAGAGAATGTGAGTTGATATTGGCGACGATACTATGTTTGCAGGATGGAACAATGCTGATAGGGATGCAGACCGCACAAAACGTGTAAAGGAAGCAAGAGACGAGGCAAAGAAGGAAATCGATGCGTATAGAAATGAAAAGGAAGATGAGTTCAAGAAGTTTGAGGCAGAGGTACGTTATATCTGGAGAATGGGGAAGGCACTCTAGCTGGGAACGATTTGTGGTTCTAACTTGTTGGGTCTAGCACACGAGCGGCAACAAGAAGGCAGAAGAAGATGCCAACAAGGATGCTGAGATCAAGTTGAAGGAGATCAAGGAAGCAGGCAAGAAGGGGGAGGGTCAGGTTATATCGGATCTATTGAAGGCAGTCTTCGATGTTAAGCCTGTTGTACCTGAACGTGTTGAAGGACCAAAATAGGGCACTCAATCTTGAGTTTGTTTGAGGGGAGAGGTCGAGCAATGGGAAATTGTAAGGGGAGATCATTGTGGTAGTGAAGACTATTAGTTTTCCACCATGATGAAAGTTATATTGAAGTTACTGTTATGGTGAAGAGGCAATTGATGATAACCTGTGTATAGACTAGCTTGCGATTCAACAACAAAGATATCCTCTGTTTCGAACTATGGTTCAATATATGTGCTCAATATGCTAACGAATCCATATCCACGAATCTCATACAGCCTTGTGGATATTGATAATAATATTGATATTGATCTTGACTTTAGGTGCATCTAATACGACTATTTTTAGCAAAGGCCCGTTCCGCTCCTCAAGGCCAATCACATGGTTCCATCTACGTCACTAGTTTTACCAACAAAAATCTAGCCCCGCGAACACTATCAAGCACTTTCTTCCTTCCACCTCGACTTTTTCAAAATGGCAATGATTTTTAGCCAAACTCAATGTATAATATCCAATCATGACATTTCCGGTCGCTCGTGTAGCATCGATAAGATGTCTATCTCACAATGTACCACGAGCCAAACGACCTATAATGCTCTCCTTCAATACCTCCCGCCCCCGTAAACTTTCTACCCGAACGACAGATTCACAAATACAAATACATAATTCAGCCGTCCGTACTTTACAGAAATGTATTCCTCAATCACGTACTTCGTTTATTCATGCAGCGGGAATTCATACGTCGAATGTTCGACAACATGAGAAGGAAAAGGATATGAGAAATGCGGATCCGAAGGTTAGTGATATTGGAAGGGCGATCGAGGATGATTTTGCTACGATTAGAGATTGTTATGGTATTTTTCCTCGCATGCCTCCTCAGTTTAATGTAAATCAGGACACTAATGAGATTAGCTACACCTAAACATCCAATTGTCCTCGCACACGGTCTCTTCGGTTTCGACGAAGTTCGCATCGCGGGTAGTCTTCTCCCCGCAGTACAATATTGGCGCGGTATTACGAATGCTCTTCGTGCAAAAGGTATCGAAGTCATCATCGCCTCTGTGCCCGCTTCCGGTAGTATTGAAGAACGCGCCGCGGCATTGGGGGAAGATATTGCTGCGAAGGCGAATGGGAAGAGCGTGAATATTATCGCGCATAGTATGGGAGGATTAGATGCACGGTTTATGATATCGCGATTGCAGCCGCCGAATGTGGAAGTGCTGAGTTTGACGACGATTGCAACGCCGCATCGGGGGAGCGCGTTTGCGGATTACTGTTTCGATGAGAGTTGGTGGCATGGAATGATACCGGGGTTGATTAAGAAATTGAATGAGGTGGGGATTAGCACGGGGGCTTTTACACAGTTGACGAGGAAATATATGGGCGAGGAGTTTAATCCGAATACGCCAGATGATCAGAGTGTGCGCTATTTTAGCTATGGGGCGACTTGCGATCCGAAGCTTTGGAGTGCGTTTCGTAAGAGTCATGGGATAGTGGAGAAAGTTGAGGGGCCGAATGATGGGTTGGTTAGTGTGGAGAGTAGTCGTTGGGGCACTTATAAGGGGACTTTGGTGGACGTCAGTCATTTGGATTTGATCAATTGGACTAATAGGTTGAGGTGGTTGGTGTGGGAGTTGACGGGGAATGTGAGGAAGTTTAATGCGATTGCTTTTTATCTGGATATTGCGGATATGCTGGCGAAAGAGGGGCTTTAGATCGGGTTGGATGACTAGGGTATGGGTCTGGAGTCTGGCTAGAACGTATCGACTGATTGGAATTTGGAGAGAAAAGTTTGGGATTGGAGAGACGCTGGGATGGTAGAAACATGGGAATAGAACAGATATAATTAAAGCTTCTCGGGTAGAAAAATTAATATCTCGTTCCTCTTCAAATTCCTATGTTCATCCTCATCCCTAGTTCTCACGCTCGTATAATTACCTCGCTAATCATTGCATCCCATGAAACACCCCCCCCCCCTATCTCAGTCGCCAGGACTCAATTCCCATATACGGTCCCTCGTGGCTACTACGAATCTCAGCAGACGTGTGCTAAACTTCAAATTCTAGATATCACATAAATCATGAATTATGAATTAGGAAAAGAGATTATAATACTTACTAGCCATGATCCACTCGTGTGGGCGCTTGGTAGATATGTCATCCTCATACCTATCTATCCATATGTCCAGAAACAAAACAAGGAAAGTGATATACGTCTATATATCTTGCTTAGAAGATGAACAATGAGTGCCCCCCCCCCCCCCCCCCCCCAAAATTATGATATCCCACGCAGTACTTACCCCATAGTAAAAGAACGAGACGATATACGATATCCTTTTCCTCCTAATTATCTATTTTCCATCTACGTTCTACCACACTACTCTCCATGGAATTCGAAAGATGAAAAAGTATTCGAAAAGCGGGAATATCCGAGCTCGACAAACAGAGTAGCTAGTTAGCTAGCTGTTCTTAACTACAATTATAAATTTCCGAATAGCAAGATGATGGAAAAACGCTTCAGAATCATTAATACAAAATATAAGAACTCCAAAAAATCATGTCATTTTTGCAGAATATAACGATCGTATTGTCAAACTATGTACGTTCCACTCCCTTTCAATCCATTCATTCATTCACTCATCCATCCATCAAAAACTACTTATCCACAAGAAGAAAAACATCTTCATTCCACAAGCCACCCTGCATCTCCTCAACCCCTATCCCAACATCTTTCAATCTCTACACACCTTGAGCTCATCATCAGAACTCTCCAGCTTATACGCTCGCTGGCTAGCTCGCTTACAAAGCCAAAGTAGCACCTGCAGAGCCTACAACAGCGGCGACGACATTTGCGCTACCCAACAAGGAATACGAGTATGGGAGGGAAGTGGTGGTCAATGTACCGACTGGGGCTGTGTTGGCGTATCCACCGAGATTGTTGTCAAATGCGTTTGCGTATCTATTGTTTTTGTGTTAGTATAGTTATATTTGGCGAGGAGATAGGAAGAAGAGAAGAAAGAGAAAAAGAAAAACATACCCAGTATCATCGCTGTAAAGTGCGGCGATTGGCTCACTAACATTCTTGAAAACGTTGCTTTGGACCAAGAGTTGCGCACCATCTCTAGTATCGATACCGGTGTTGGCGTTCAAGAAGTAGCTGTTGAATACGTGACCGGTTCCGAATCTGAAAGATGGAGTGCGGGATCCGATGTTAGACCAGTAGTTGTTGTGTTGAGTGACGGTGAGATGTCCGGTATCTTCAGCAGCGTTGCTGTCGGAATGGCCGATGAGAGATGCCTTGAAGTGGTCGTGGATGTATGAGTTGGAGATGGTGACCCAGTCGGAGGCGTGGGTGACGTCAATGAGACCGTCGTAGTAGTCTTTGCCGTTGTTGAGATCGGAGGAGACATCGCTGGGAAGTAAGTTAGTTTTAATTTTTGTTCCATATCTTTGGAAGCACGAACACATGATCAATCCAAACATTCTTCGCTGCTTGGATACCAATAGCATCGCCATTGGAAGCCAGGACCTTCTGACTAATGATATTTCGCACAATGACGTTTGTGGATTTGTTGATATAGAGACCGACTCCAATGAGTGCTATAATGTCATTAGTGCTGTCTAGAATATGTTTTTGCAAGAAGAGAACATACTAGCTCCTTTCTTTCCAATAATCGTCTTGTTGGATCCAACTCTGACTTGAACAGAGCCAGAGATGGTACCGCTAACGACGATGACTCTTGCAACTGCGTCGTTGGTCACTGCTGTTGTGAATTGAGCAAGTGTAGAAACGGTGGTGGTTGCGCCACCTGCTCCTCCTTTGGTTCTGAAAAAATGTTAGTAAGGTACAGAGGCGATATTGAGGAATCACTTACCCGCCGTTTTGAGTTGCAAAACCGGTAGTGGCAACGTCGGTGATAGCAGCTCTCTTAGCAATGTTTGCACGCTCGGCAATAGCATCACCTTCAGTTGGTGTAGGGGCAGCAGAGACAAACTGTGCAAGGACTGCGAGTCCTGTGGAGAGAATGGAGAGCTTCATTTTTGGATATTCAGGAAGTTTATTGCGGAAAGATTGATTCGAAAAATTGATCGTAGAGCTTCCAGCTTCTTTCTTTGCCTTGAGTTGAGTGAGTTGTGAAGAATGAGAATCTGGTGGAATCTGCTTCTCCTTTATATACTTTTGATTTCTCATTCAGCTCCCATATCGTCAAACGAGATTTGAGTCCATTCGATGTCAGTACAACCACAGCCGTGCAAATCTTCACGGAAAACCTTCAGCACGGAAAACATATCCAGTGATGCTCATCAAATTCGCTCACGATCGACGGCGCTTCCAGACATACTCGATTCCACGAATGAAGAATCTCCCTCATCATAATACAACAACAACACTCCTCTCTCTTGTTTCATTCAGCAAAGTCAAACACAACATCGAGTGAGCCAAGAAAGTGCGCATCAACGTATCTTTGTACACGCCAAGCAACATAGATGAAGCTTATTTAACACTTAGGTTGGTGGGTCTGCACACTCGTAGATTTTCCGTCCATAGACGATTTAGTACGCTTAGAAATCTGGGGACCCCGCAATATGAAGGGTGCATGTGCGACATTCAATAGTACTCCTCTAGACAAATACGAACTGAACGGCTATTTGCATCACATGTTCTGTGAAGTAGTAGCTGCATCATCATGTATCGAAATGGCGACTTCAATATTTGGCCATACGTGGAAAATTAGTTCCGTGCAGAAAAACTATAATGATAGCAACAAAAGCTACACCGGCGGTGTATATTTGCTTCCGCGAGTTCGAAATAGATTATACTCTATACATATTATCCTTCATGAACGATGTGTTTTTTGAGAAGGTTTAGGTTGAAATTCGGTTGCACAATAACTTCAGTAAGGTTGTACAACGTCTCATGACCCAGTTAGGTTATGGAAAAGGGATTTTAACATTATTACCCGCCTGTAAGGATCGACCATCTTGCAGCTCCATTAATTCGCCGAACTTAGAAATGGCGTGTGTGGAAGGGGAAATGCTCGAATTAATTCTTGGCGCAGGAATCGATACGTTTAGACATACCGAGTTACCTGCCAAATCCATAACACAATCTTTCAGTTACCGGATTGCGGTAAATAACCTGCACAAAATTCCATTCCATCTCGCCACGTTCAGGTACCCTCTGAGTCACGTTGCAGTGACGCCTTTATTAACCTCATTTGCTAAAGAAATTCGTGATCTTTTGACTTCCCTTTTCCTGAACAGAAGATTTCTTCGGGCTTCCATAATTATTGCTAGTAGCGCTCCTAGTCTTCCTATTTGACGCCACAGGCGGAGAATCTTTTTCGGGAATTGCAGAAACGCGTATTGATTTTTTGGGCGGCTCTTCAGTATCAATATCGTCAAGCTCGCGTTTTACCCCTTGTTTGTTCTCTGTTTTGGGCACTGGTAATGGCGCATTATCCTCAGACCCATTATGATCAATAGTTCTGCGACCATCTGTATCTGTATGCTCTTCCTTGATTGGTGTATCTTTTGTTTTTTCCTCTTTGATCTTCCGAAGTGCGTCTGCATTAGATGGCTTGGATGTTGCCTTTGCGTCATTCTTCCCCCCTTTAGCAAAGAAATTGGCAATATTGGACTTGTTTTCCGTGCTTGATACTGGAACAATGAAATTAGGAGAATTATTGCCCACCTTTCCCACTTCCTTGCTAACTGGGTAGATTTCTAATTCTCCTTCATATGGCTTTAGGAGAGATTGAAGTTCTTTTGTCCATGATGATCTTTTCGGATCAAGCCAAGTACGGAGATTTTCTGAGCCGTTTTCAAGAACTACTGGCATCCTTTCATGTAGAAAATCCAACTGCTTATTCGAACTCGTGGTGATGATCGTGTAAGTGTAAAGTTTCTCGTCCGAGCCTTCATATTGAACGACATCCCAAAGCCCCGCCATGCACAGTAGCTGACCATCCTTCCTCTTGATATAATGAGGAATCTTTTCTTTCCCTTTCTTCAACCACTCATAGAATCCATCTGCAACAATAATACACCTCTTCTTTTGCTTCATAGTATTCCACATTCCTCTATTCTCAATCAATGAATCGTCACGGCAATTGATAGTTTTCATCATCGATCCATAATCCGGGTTGCGCTTCGTCCAGAATGGTATTAAGCCCCATTTCATACTCTGGAGTTTATACTGGACTGCCTCATTCGTACATTCTTCTTGCTCAGTCATATCCGGTTTGGTACTTTCTGGCTCGGTGGCGGATGTCTTTTCAGTCTGATCGACGCCTTCCTTATTATGTCTCGATCCCGCACCCCAATCCGGTACATTAGCCCGATAAACAATGCCATGATATCCCGGCGCAAAATTATAACTTTGCCTCGGTGCGCCATCACCATCATCATCCGGCGCTTCCTCAACTGGCATATTCTCATCCTCGAGATATTGGCGAACCTCTGAAGGTCGCTTTATAACATCAGCAAGGTTTATACCAGCCAGTTGTTCTTCATAACTTACCAGGTGTAAAGCATATCTTCCACACATACTGACTAATGTTACATTGTCGGATTCAAGTTGGATTGAATATCGCGTTTGTGGTATTTAGGTAATGTGATGTGACAGGCGGCCGCATTCACTTCCATGACGTCACTGTTTCTCACTCTTGGGCTCTAATATAATCTACCAGTGCTTATTTTATCCAACTCCATCTCAACCTTCTCAGAACACCATTTAATAAATCTCGAGAGGCTTCTGACATAGAGATCAAAATGAGCAGAAAATTACACTCATTCTTCACAACGCTGATCAACAACTTCTAATATCCCCATTCTTGAATTTCAGGAACAAAGTTCACCGGGAGGCCAATAGAAACTCTATATTTCACCGAGACAAACTTCACCAGGATCACCGGGAGTCCATTCCGCCTCTTCCCCACACTTACCCCGGTGCTCCCGCGCCGGCAATTATGAATGAACTTCTTCATCTTCCTAGCAAGCTGTCGCCATCGTTCATTAAAATTTGAGTCCCATATGCAATTTCCCGTCTTAAAATCTCCGCAGTGCACGCTGATTATACGCATCGTACGATACATATATATGTATCAAACATATCTGGTAACTATTGTTTTACTTGCAATCAGATAGACACTACACCAGTATAGCTATCTGGTACTCGTAACTGCTGTAACGTTTGAGATGATACAATTCGTATCCTAGACGGAGTAGACGGACCGCCGGCTCTCAGCCACCTCAATTTCGATGAAACGATTTCAGAAAAGTATAAGAAGAACAAGATGAAGGTACGATACCCACCTACTTGTAATGGATTTATCCATATTGAGTCTGTTGTATACCAAACAAATTGTACCAATGATCGAGACACCCCACTACCTACGTAGGTCAATCAATCCAGTACTCGTTCACCAGTAAATATCAAAATCAAGTGAGAGTCTTCTGGAACAAATCCAAAATCGAGTTAAGGTAGCGATTTATAGGTACTTCCTCTATCGTCTATCTACTCTCTACCTCATTGGCACCTTTATACCGATGATATTCCATGAATCTCGTAATTTCATAATGCCATGTCAACCCACGCATGCATAGGTACCATTCATGACCTCTAAACACCCACGCTCAAATTCCAAAACAATAAAAAATAAAAAATATCAAACGGAGATCTCTCAAATCTCAAGCCTCTAAATCCACATCACTCTTCTTTCCACTTCCCATGATCTTAACGTTTTCCCGTCCACCTTTGCCAGACTCCTCAAATTCGCTTCCTTCTTCCGCACTGTACGCCATATTAGGATCATCAATTTCTTCCCCGACTTCCATCCATACATCGCTTGTAGCGGGTACAGGGAAGAATTTACATAAAATCCAATACACGCTTGACGCGACAATAAATCCGCAGAAGAAGTTTAAATTATAGATATATGTTGCGCCAATTGGAACTTCCTTACCAATTGCTCCTACGAATCCCACAATGTTGATGAGGATACCGGCGATGTAAGCAGCGTAGCCTCTCCAATGAACACCAGCTGTGTAGTAATATGGAGAGGTTTTCTTGGCGGAATACAGGTTTCGAACTTGCAGGTAGCCCTTACGAACGAAGTAGTAATCTGAGATGATGACACCAGCAATGGAAGATAGGAAGACGGAGTAGGCGGAGAGATAAGTGGTGAAGTTGTTGGAGGTTGAGAGAAGATTCCATGGACACATGACGAGGCCGACAAGAGCGCAAACGTAACCGCCGCGACGGATATTGATGTAGCGGGGGAGGAGAGCTGTCATATCTGTACCTGCAGATACGGAATTGGCTGCGATATTGGTACCGAGTTGGGCGAGAGCAAATGCAGTTGCAATGAAAAATACACCGGCGCGATTTCCAGACCCTCCTTCGGTTAAGAATGATTGGAGAAGTTCAAGAGGATTCCAGATGGCTTTACCGAAGATGACGGTCGAAGACGAGGAAACAATAATACCGACGAAAGATGTAACGGCGAAACCAACGGGGATAGTGATGAGTTGTGACCAGAAAGCATCCCTTGGCTTTCGTGCAAATCGTGCGAAATCGGGATCGTTAACGATGAGAGTTGCGAAGTTGGCGATAGAAGACATAATTCCAGTGACCATTTCCCAGCCCAACGTACTTCCATGGCTTACATTTCCTTGTTTGACGATTGGTCCAAGACCCTTTGCGCGAACTATAGCCCAGATGAAGAATGAGAGGCCTGCAACTGGTACCACATATGCTTTAACTGTAAACAGATGACGAATTTTGTGGACCGGAAACCAGATTGCTGGAAGCGAGCAGAACCAAAAAAGGAAGAATGACACAAACATCACAGTGTTTGTTCCAGAATTAGGGATTCCATTGTGAATCTTGCCATCGGGATGCCACGATGGCCAAACTGCAGCGATCATCAATTGAACGCACTCTCCTCCAATCCAAGCCTGCACTCCGTACCAAATACAAGCCATGGCTGCACGATTGAACACAGGCCACAGAGCACCCCAAATACCGAAAGACGATCGAGCAATGACGGGAAAGGAAAGATGATAAGTGGCGCCGATTCTTGCCGTGGATACAATGAAGCAGGCTGCAATTGAATATCCAATCCACACACAAAGCCATGATTGCCACCACGATAATCCGCCGACAATCATGCTCGATGATATCATCCATGTGTTCTAATTGGTCGCGATGTTAGAATCTTACTTCTGGGCAAGAAAAGGTTGTTGGAGGCATGCTCACAATATTAAAAGAATCCGCGATCCAAAATCCTACAAAATTCCAGGTTCCCCATTGTCTACGTTCTGGTTCGACTGGAAGAGATATCAGTATTTGTGTACTCATACAAAATGATAATTACATACCAGGCTTCAAATCATGATTGTTTAACATGAGTTGAGCGTTGGTCAATCCAGGTTCGGCCTCTACGGCCAACTTATCGGCCCAGTAGCCAACCTTCGTATTTTTAACTTTCTCCATGATGAAATCAAGGAACCAGCCGCCCGATTCGTCCGAAGAGTGAAATATAATGTCTCTGAAATGAATATCTGAAGAAGAGGAAGAAGAGAGGCGTCTGGGAGAGGAAGTTGATGTATTTCTAGAATGCAAAGAGGAAGAGGGGTTATGAAGTAACGTTGTACCGGTTGCACTTTCTTGGCTCTTCGACGAACCACTGGTAGAAATTAACGGCGTGCTTTCGTCGTCTGGCCTAGTACCGGCAGTGTTCTTGGTTTCTTCACCTCCAAACTTGAAGGCGGACATTGCATCTATTATATAGATTATTGGATAGACAAGGGCCCTGGATGCCGTCTATGATCTTTCTCGGCTTATGATCTTCTAAAATCCTTTTGCCTTCTCTGTAGCTGCATAAAAAATTCTTTGGATCCCTACACAATGTGAAAAAGAAGTATAATCGCACAGGAGACTAGATCCAAATTGTCGGTCGATTTGTCGACTTGGGTTAAGTTTATTAGTTTCTTGTCCCAGTTTACCGGTTCGAAATCCCCCGATAGAAGGAAGGTACCTGGCCTAGTATTGTCATGCAAGTGAATCATCTATATTTGCTTCTTATCTTTGAAATCCTCTCCCGTGCAGATACATTTCGCCAACCAAGACAATTAACCCAAAGGCAAGGGCCATTAGAAAAGTATATTCCAAACCATTTCCCTAGTACCAAAGATATGAGAGATACGCAACCCAGACCCCACGCTGCAAGATCCAGGATCATGATCTCATATGATGAACCATTTTTACAATTTGGTGCCCAGATCAATACGTTTTCATGATGGGAATGACGGCTGGAGTCCCTGTTGATTCTTCTGAATCCTCTCAAATCATAAGCTCCGCATGATTTAGAATGATTTTGATCACGGATAAACTAGAAATTAGTGTATCATATTAGCTGTTGATCATCCCTAGCGAGACCTATCAACAAGCACATCGTTATCTGACAACGTCGGGTGGATTCACCGGGACTGTGATAGTGTCGATAAAGATAGAAGATAGATAAGTAATACAGATAAGGCTGCTATTTTACTCGATGTGATCGAGCAATGAATTGTAAAATTGCGGGGAAGGAACATGGAGATTGTGAGAGTACGGAGTAAGAGAAAATCATATGCATGCAAGTAGGGCGTTGGAAAGATTCCTCGGTGTCCCCGAACCTTAATAAGGTAAAGCGATTGAATGTTTTCTGCAATAATGTGAGATGTAAGATTTTGCATCTCCGGGAAAGAAGTTATTCAGTATTAGTTACAGTATAACAGTTTAGGATGTCGCCGTCGCCGTGAAAAGTCTTCACAATATTCTATCGGGGGCTGAAAAACGTGATCATTTTCAATAAACGTGATCATTTGGGTTGACTCCCGATTTCGCCATCGATGAATTCTCCAGAAGAGAATTATAGTAACTCTCAAATACAATCAATTTATTTTTCCTTCTGAAAGAGGAGAAGGGCAAGAACTATCACCCCTCCTTAAAACAGAAATGTTATATCTTGAGAAGTAAAGTCGCACTACTGTTAACTTAATATTAGTCATGTGCATCTTATCATAGTAACGATCTTCCTTTCTTAACTATATCAAATTTTCATCTCGAGAGCCACGTCATGACAATCTGGAAGGCCATGGCGATGGTTCCAGCGGTGACGAGTTTAGCAATACTCTGGAGTCGAATGGGGAAGAGACTTATCATGCCGTCCCTGATCGGATTCCAGGAGCAATTCAAGTACAATACCATATGGAACTCTGAAGTTTACCACGGTGGAATTGATGGGTCAAACTCCTGATAAATTCAATCAAATGGTCAATACTCAATATCCTCAGCAGGAACAACATTGTGCTGTACACTATTGAATGGAGGAAGACAGGATCTTGACTACGAGAGTGAGAACTTTGTAGGTGGAATAGATGACTAGCATACCAGCATGATCACCATACCAGCTTGAAGTTTCGAGCCAATGGAGTAAACGCTGCCTTAGTTTCAGCAGTCAGCAGCCTCCCTGCTTGCAGTCCGTCAAAGAATTGCCGGGAATAACATTCGTGTAGCGTTCAGTTAACGGGGTTGGATGGCATTGCTTGCGATATTGCTTTGACTGTCTGTCCGGCATCATTTCCCGCTTGGTTATCGGTTCAACTTCGCCGACGAACATACGCCAGAGAGGAAGGCAATGCATCATTCTTCAGGGAAGAAGATTATAACTTTTTAAGTGTAGTTTGGATCACAATGTGGAGCGTTTCAGTCATAAAAGCCACGGATATTACTTAGATAAAATGGCATCACAAAACATAAAATAAGCCAAGGAGTAGTCAAAAGTACAGCAGAATTATCGTTCATCGAATAATGACAGAAAAATTTATCGCCGATGCTCCTGAATCAAGAGAGAAAGACCCTCTTACTGATCGTCTGTCAACCCCACCATTACCAACGAATCTTTCCAAAGTCGAGCCTCAGCCTCAGGATCGTAAGCATGCCCTGCATATCCTACACCTGCAATCTCGTGATTATCATTCCCACGGGTTGTCTTTGCGCACTCAGCAAGATATTCTCCGCCCTTATTTTCCCATTCTTTTCCAATGGCGGCCCACACTGTTGTTGCAGCACCCTGCTCTGCCGTCTTCATTTTTTTGTAGAGACCTTCATCCTTTGACATTTCTGCTACCACGGCAGGATCCACATGCTGCATGAGCCCTGTTGAGGCAGCGATTCCAGGATGAACACTTGTGGCATGAAGCCCTTGGGATCCGTAGCGCCTCTCGATCTCGTTGGCCATATAGATATTGGCGGTTTTGGCTTGACCATATGCAACCCAGTCATTGTATTCAGTCTTCTCGAAATTGTAGTTTCCCGATTCGTTGATCGATGCTACGTGGTGGGCAGAAGAAGAGACACTAACGACTCGAGATGAGAATTCAGGGCTGGCGTTAGCGAGGAGAGCAGGCTTCAAAAGCTGGAAGAGGAGGAAATGGGAAAGATGATCAACTCCAAATTGCTTTTCAAAGCCATCTTCCGTAAGTGACAGCTTAGGTAGAGCCATGATACCGGCGTTGTTGATAAGGATGTTGACTTGGTTGTTTGACTTCTGAAGAATTTCTTCTGCGGCGGCACGTACGCTGCTTAATGAATTGTTGTCCATCTTGACTAATTCGACTTGTCCTGGTGCGAGGATTCCATCCAAAGCAGTCTTGGCTTTCTTCAAGTCTCGGGCGGTCAACAACAGCTTTGCGCCAGTCAAAGACATAGCACGTGCTATCTCAATACCTATTCCAGCCGAAGTGCCTGTAACGACAACAACTTTCCCCGCTAGCTTGCCCTGCACACCTTCGTCCTTGATGATTTGAATGGCTGTTGGACGAGCATCCCCAGGGCCATTAGGATTCAAATGAGCTTCTGCGTATCGAGCCATTGTGCTTGGGAAAGTATATTTGGATTTGGTATTTGGTATTTGAAATTTGGTGATGATGTAGACAATGTGAATTCTAATTTGAGGGACATAGAACTATTTATATTTCTCTTCGTTGCTTGAACCTTCAATTCTGGATTTTCGGCTTGGGAACCTTAACTCCTGGACGGCGATAAGAATTCATAGTTTACCTTTGGTATTATGAATCAACAGGAAACGGACTTTTCTTACATATGAGTAGGCAAAGCTGGACTTTCACTCTTCTCCATCTTCAGCTATACTTGTGCTACTACTTGCCTCACGACCCATTTCATGCATAATTCAACATCTTGCCGTGCTGCGAAAACAAAAAAATACTAATAAATCTCGTCCATTATGAGACAAAGGAACTATTGTATCCTGGAACAGGGCTATATTCTTGATCACGCCTTCTTACTAAAGTAGCAAAAATATAGCTCGGTATAAGGATACGTCCCGATATAAGAATATGTCCCGATATGAGAATGTATCTCTACATAAGGATGCATCTCGACATAAGGATGTGTCTCGGTATAAGGATGTGTTTCGACATAAGGATATGATGATTAGTCATCCGTCTCTCTAGGTAGGTATTTTAGGCTATGAAAGTCTACGCGGAACGTCTTGGTCAAAATTATTTTTTCCCATCTTTTTAGCCAAATATCAACCACTTCACCATACAATTGAGACCCCTTCGATAGGAACGTTGATTGATATATAGGTACTCACCGAATGGAAGTATGTTCTTTTCCCCTCTGGCTAAAGAGCGGGGTCATGTGATCTTTACCCTCCCTCCTATTAAGAAATATCGAAAAAGATGGGGAAAAAAATTCCGCACACACTTCCATACTACATTCTCGAAAGTCTATACATAACATGGCGTTGTTGTCTAGAGAACGTTTCAAACTCTTGAATTTGTTGCATCGATATTTCTACATAGCTTTTTGTCTGGAAATTTGTCACTTTCAAAGGGTATGTAATATGGTGTGGCGCTTGTATTTCAATCAATTTCCTCTACCCTTATTCCTTCCTCACTGGCTGTTATATGGCAACTAGCAAGAAATTCGACCATGCAGATTACTTTCCGATAATTATCTAAGAGACTTCCACAGTCGAGCTTCCAATATTTGCGTTCCACGTTATCAGCCTCTCGTTTCTGGATGCACGCCATTTATTGCTTGCTTGGATCAAATCATCACAGCCTTCTAGTGCCCAGCTCCATCTTTTTACGAAGCCGGGTGTGACTTCCCAGCTTTCTACATTCCATGGATCACCCCAGTTGATCATACATTTACGTCCAGCTGTGTAATCATCCTGATCTTCGGAATCATCGGTACCAGAATCGTTTTCTTCAAGTGACGGCAGTGCTGCTAAAACATCACGCATTTGTAATGTACATTCGTGAGCATCTGGTGTTGGTGTAACATAATCTGGGAAAATATCACCAAAGAGGTCCCGACACATTTCTTCAGGTACGAAGTTCACACCTTTCTCAATGAGGTTATCCCGAAATTTCGGGAAAGGAAACATATTTATAATGCCCGTATGGGCACAGTTTATCTGCAATTCCGTTGGATATAGCGAATCAGGTATGGGTAGGCCATCAAGAGGATGGATGACTGTTAGGCCACCACAAATTTTAGTAGCAAACTGTTTGATAGGTGCTGTCAGAGGTGATGCCTTAAGAATGAGTGATGATGCAAATATCAGATCTTTATTAGACATTAAACCCCGATAAGAATTGTGTTGAACAAGGTGGATGAAATGATCAGATGATATTGTAGGTGTCGCTAAAGCGTTGGTCTCGGTATCGAGACTGGCGTTGTTTGCTAGAGAGGTCGCTGTTGATGCCTCTCTTTGAGGCCAAAATGAAATCAGAGCTTGGTTGGCTATGCTCGCAGAGCTTCCATATGATGGCGAAGCGGAACTTCCGACCGATGAATGGTTTGGTGTCAGGATTGTGTGATCCTGTTTTAGGAGAGATTGAAGCCTCATCTCATATCTCCGTCGGAATTTGATAACCCAGCCATGAGAAAATTTTGGCGTCGCTAGACCTTGTGACTCGTCTGATTGAACCCATAGCTTCTTGGCTTTTTGTCCGATGGTTTTGTTTGTGACTTTACAGGACCCAGCCTCCACTTCTTGAAGCCAATCTGTGAGCAAAGTCTCTAGCCAAGGCCATTGACAATTTCGTGTTCGAAATTCAGAGTCTGACGCATTAGAGACATCTAGATAAGCAAAGCTGTTGCTGAGGCTTCGACTAACGATGGACTGACTAATATTGTAGCCGAAGCGAGACTGAAACCACGCTCTCAATTCAGACTGGGTAGGCTTCGGAGTAGCTGTCTGGTAGTATCGGCGAAGTGTAGCGCGTTGTGAGTGGGAGATTGGGGTCCGAGAATCAGCCATGGTATTAGATTTACGTACTAGTCAGGAGTACGAAGCGCGATTGTGGCCCAAATCGTGGGGAAATGGATGATTATTGTAGGGATTTTAGAAGAACTTTCATTTCACAAAGTGAAAAAAAAGTATGAGGAAAGTATCAAAATCTGAAGGGTGATACCAATGAAGTGATGCAGATTGTGAAGATGGAGAAAATATAATGGAGTGCCATGAGTGAAGCAAAATAATTTAGATTCTAATCTAGACTTGACATAAAATCTTTAATAAATACTAGGTACCGGTATATACCAAACATTTTAAGCTTCCGGCCAACTAAGCGAAGAGAGACATTACTAATCGCTCTTGGATCAGGTAACGTCTTCAAATTTTCTGATGTGGACGTATGGGCTTTTCTGCGATGCCAAGAAAATAAGAATAATGGTAGGCTATATATAACGCAAGGTAGAACAAATCATGACGGTTTATCACAGCAGTATGTCTCAAAACAAAGTAATATCCGCTCTCGTTGCATTTAAATTTCCAGGACTATCAGTTCCCCAAAGGCAAAGGAACATCGTACTCCCTCCTTAAAGCGACCGACAACGCCTTTTAATTGGATCGCTGCTGCTCTAGAGAAAGAACGTAACACGGGTGGACAAGAATCGGATAGATATTATTGGGTTGTTACGCAAGATTCAGTAACTACTCCCCATAGCGTTTTCGACGGTAGAGTTTCGAAAGGCTATTCTATCAACTGGCCACCATTACAAGGCATCTTTAAGGTTTGTGGACAAGACTCCCAAGATTTCTCCCAAGTTCCAATTGGAGAAGACTCAGGTATCCAGCACGCTGTGCAGCTGCATGCCATCTCAAAGACTGTCATTCACCTCAAGGAACACCGGAAGCGTAACCACAACCCCACAATCCAATCAACCTCTCTCTCGACCTGTACTAGCTGCATACAACTCTCTTTCTGACCTGAATTGGTCCTAAATCCCTCCCCCACCCCCATCGTTCCCACGGAAACTCGGGATTCAATGATTTGTAAGATACGAGCAAGGAAGGATATGTCCTCTATGAGCGAGGTTTCATTTTGAAGAAAGCATTATCTCATTTGATCCCTTATTGTTTTGCTCCTCAAATCCAGTGAATGACTTTTTCAAATCCACAATGACCAAAGTGTCTTTATTGCTACCGCTATAGGCGAACAAGGTTGCCCATTATCTATACTGTTGCTTCAGCTTGATTACGAAGTACAAATCCTCGTCCGCGATTCCTCTTCCAGCGCAGCCCAAGCTTTACGAGTTTTAGGAGCGGATATCTATACTGGAATTTTAGAATCCTTTGAAGCAGTTACTAGAGCCATTAGCGGTGCCGATACTGTCTATCTCGCACTTCCGCCAAATTTGAAAAACGAAATCGTGTGCGCAAAGAATGTGCTGGAAGCTGTCCAGCAGGGAAAGGTGACTCGGGTCATTTACTCTAGTGTTGCGAGAACCAGGGGTTATGAAACCTTCCCTGATTAGAGTAAGGAATATTCGTCAGCACAGTATTAGATCCAGAAGGACGAGATTGAGAAAATGGTTCTCACTTTGGGTTTTAATCACTGGACGATTCTTCGACCTGCGTTTTCTTTGCAGAATTTTTGCTACCCAAAATGTGATCATATGTTCCCAGGACTTTCAAAAATGCACACACTTCGAACTGCGTTCCTCCCCAGCACGCGTCTAGAGCTCATCAGCGTTGAGGATATTGCTCGCTTTGCTACCAAAGCTATCCAATCACCCTATAGATTTCCTAAATAGACTCTCACGCTAGCTGCCGAGAAATTGTCAGCCGTTGAAATAGCCGATCGATTGGGTGCGGTGAGGGGTAAATAGATCACCGTTGAACATCTACCCGATCAAGTGGAATAGGGTTAGTCACTTCGAGATATGCGGAGCTGTGGCCAATTTAAAACCTAGCTTTGAGCGTCTACACTGCGGTGTAGAGTGAAGCTTGAAATATTATTACTCGACGGGAATTAGTCGCCACATACATTCAAATATGAGTTTTACATCATGGAACGGGATTGAATGATTGCTTGCTACTATGTTCTCTTCCAAGCAAAGATTATCACGAGGTCGCAGAATAACCTTAATATTCCACGTTCTATGATGTATTAATTCGATAATGATATTCTCTAGATCTGATCATAATAAGATTACCAAGCGTCCCCATTTTGGTTCTTAGGGGTTTGGTCAAATGCTCGTTGCTCAATATATTCACCCCGTGGGTACCCGTTATGCATCTTTTTGCTAGCGATCTAGTGGCTAAAGAAACGATACCCAGCTGCATAATGCAAAGAGAATTATACCCAATTTCAATCTAAATTGGTTGCTTTTTAAATGAATGGGGCCAAGCATCATCGTGTCAAGGATATGACGTCCGGATATCCTTATATCGAGATGTGGTGTCATTGCGTTTCCAGATTTCTAAGCAGACTTCTCTGTAGTGGAGAACGCTGCCAGTCAACGCCAATGCAGACAACGATGGTTATCTGCCAATTAGCGTTGCAACTTGATTGGAGAATATCATTATTCACATTTCTCGCAAAATCCTGACATGTGTGCAATTCAGTTTCTTGCTTATGTGTAGCTGTGTTTTCTGCCTTCCAGACTGTATAATCTCACGGTACTTACAAAGTCCACAACGTCAGATAGAATGGCGCTCTCTGGTGGCAACTTTACAGCCACAAGGCACTCTACGACTTATGACTACATTTCCCCAATCAAGCTAGACCTTTCTGAAAAAAATGTTCTAGTTACAGGGGCAGCGTGGGAGGACGGGGTTGGATATGCTACAGCTACAGCGTTTGTGCGTGCGGGTGCTTCAGCAGTAGCATTAGCTGATCTCCACGGCGTATCAGACGATCTTATCACGAAGCTTAAACTGACTGCAATGCAAGCTGGGCATTCAGAGCCTACGGTGCTGAGCTGTACCGTTGATATCTCGAAAGAAGATAGCGTTCAAGAAATGTTTGAAATCGTATCAGAACGGTTTGATGGACGTTTGGATATAGTCATCAACAATGCAGCTCATATGGAACCATACAAGCCGTTACTCGATGCGGATCCAGATGTTCACTGGCGAACTTGGGAGGTCAATATTCACGGAATCCTAAACATTGCTCGTGCCTTCCTTCCTATGCAGCTTTTGACTCGTGCAAACAATAACGGCTTATGCACAATGATCAATGTATCCTCTTCAGGTGCATTGAGCGCTCGTCCTGGAAGTGCAAGTTATCGGAGCTCAAAGCTTGCGATTTTGAGGTTAACCGAGTCTTTACAATTGGAATATGGCAATCAAGGATTTCTGACCTATTGTGTTAATCCGGGTGCGATCAAGACGAAGATTACTGAGACCGCACCTGAGGAGGTTCGGAATCGGTTTCCTGATCGTCCAGAGATAGCTGGGGACACGATTGCATGGCTGGCTGCTGAGCGTAAGGAGTGGCTTGGTGGACGATACGTGAGCTGTCCATGGGATATGAAAGAACTTATGAAGAAGAAGGATGAGATTATCGAGAAGGATCTGCTTAAAATGAGGATGGCATTCTGAGTTGAGATCTCCTATGACCGCGTTGGATCATGACTGACTACGCCAGATTTAGCCACATCCATTTGATGTCTTTCGATGATTTTACATGATGTCTCTCCGCGCTCATGATACGATTGACTCAGTAGGATTATTTACTTACAATGTTCTTTACCTATCTAGCTGGGTAGTAAACCGTAGAACAGAACCAATTTCCCATTTCATTTTATCTTCACCGCTTCCTGGCAGAATAGTTGGAGCACGTGCTTAATCGGGCCGTGTCGGCTTGTGGAACCAGCCTCGAGTCAGCCTAGTATACTTTCCATCCCGTCCCGTTGTTAGGACCACTTAATTCTTACCATCCAAGACGGCTCACAAATCACTCGAGATATATACATTGCCCAGATATAATTCCACTACGTTAGTAATCTATACCACTCTTATTCTCTCACCACCACATCTCAACCTACCATTTCCAGGATTCCCCAGATCAAGCTCACCTATTTTGACATAAAAATCGCTGCACTACAACCTCAAATCACCACAGCATGTCACCAGCATGGCACAAGCATCCGACATCTCGTATAGATCTTGATCGTGACTTGCTCATTTAGGAAATGAAACGGGTCGGCTCGTATGCGATATGCAACAAACGTAACCTCAGATGTCTCTTCGAAAAATTCGTGCCGTCGTTGCATCCTTTTATGCCGGTAATGATCACGTGGGTGGTTTTGAGGCTTGCGAATGGTTTGTGTGGATTTAGATAATGCCAATATGGGCGTGTGGCTTGTATCTGTAGACAAAGTCTGGGTCTCAAGAATGCTACAGTTGGCGATTCTGGTATTTGATTAGCGGGCGACATGGGCTTGAGTTTTTCTTGTCGAAAATTCAGATTCTGGGTTATATTGATGCTTGACAACTGAAGACAATCGAAATCATAGGTTTGACCACAGCTACACCATGTCAGTGACATTGAAACACGGAAATTGCGAGGTTTACAGAGAGATTTGTCTACTTAGTACTCAAGATCTCATGCGTTCGCTCTATTTTTTCACTTGCTTGTTGTTCCTTTCTTTTCTGGTAAACACAAGGCACGTGAATCTCGCTTGGCCGCACTTGGTATGTCTGCGAGGAGGTATCTTGTGATTTTTGCATCCAAAATTTTTTGAGTCCTGCATCATATTAATCCCATTATCTTTACGTCAACTTCACACGAGCTGATATACTCATGATTCAAAGCGGATACCAATAGTTGATCTTCAAGAAGTCTTTGATGTATAGTCTTTGGCTACTATTTTCAGGTCAAGTAGTGATGTTCCGATCGTGTTACGCTATCCAACATTGGTAAGAATATCGCTACATTTAGAGTATCTCGAATGATGACATCCTCAAGGTCCATGGATGACGGAGAAGAGAAAGCTATCTAAAGTTGGCCCAAGCCAACTAAGAAATAATAGATCGAAGAAGTGTAATTTACTCAGGAAAACACGAGGAGATATTACCAAAACAGACGAATTGAAGAGTATCAAACCCCGAATATTTCGATCGTCAAGTGGGAGTCTTGATAAAAGAATGTAAAAATGCAGTGGACTTCCTTGATCTAAGGACTGTAACAGTTTACAATCACTTCATTGCCATATATAACATCTGGTGAATCGTCATTTATATACCCGGTTGCTTTCACCACTTGCATGTCAAATGAAGCTTGGTGGTGCGGCGGTCTAGCAGTCGTTCGCATATCTGTATTTCCTAGAGATTTACATCGGGTCACGATCTTGGTCTAGCTGCCATCACATTCCTGTGCCAAGTGGATGACCCACTTCTCTTTTTCTGCTTTTTTATCTTCGAAAAGAAATCACTTTTTGCGATTTTTTGGAAGCGTCGTGTTTCAAGCGGATACATTTGGGCATTTTAAAGACTAATAAATCTACTGGATACGATGCTATCATCCGAATTGTTCTTGCCGAAACTTTGATTTATAGTGGGGCTCTGCTATTCACTTTAAAAGCAAACAGTATTTCGTTTTCGTCTACAATTGCTGGTGGTTCATTTTCAAATTCACTATTTCATTCCTCTCGACAGTCCCTGTCGTTAAGATTCCATAAAGCCTTCCGAAGCTTTTAGTTCTCATTTAATTTCACTGATGCAAACAAAACAATCCTTATTGAAGAGTAAAGACGAATTTGTTCTACTCTTCCTCTTTCTCGCGTAGTGCTTCCTATGTACAGCCAATCGAATATATACAGACTCATTCCACTATGTACAATCTCTTCACCAAAGTATACCAGCCCGATCAATCAATCCTCATTGCTACTATTTTCGAGTAAGACAAGCCGCAACGAGCGCTTGGTCAGTCATAGAAGATCCACTTCCATTAGGCGTTTCCGTCAATACTGTCACATGAATATTATTATTTTATCGAACAAAAAATGATGGGCATATAGAAAATTGCTGCACTTACTGTAAGTTGAATCGAAGCTTCCAGCAGACCATCCAATGTATCCCAAATAGACATCCGAGTTCGCACTGTGCAATCACATCGTTAATAACATATACCACAGCCTTCCATCTTCAACTCCAAGATGAAATGAAATTGGAAACATACTTCAAATAAGCAACCTGTTGACACAAGTACGTCTGACAACTTGCGGTATTTCCACCGCCTGTCTCGCTCAATATAGCTTGTCTCCCATTGGCCCGTAGCCAAGTTGCTAGTGGTGCAAATGCAGTATCGATATTGTTGGTTACGCACTCGGCGTGGGTTCCAGAATTATCGGAGTCGAGATATTTGTGTACGTCAAAGATTAGATTGGTGAAAGTGCCATCAGGATTGGTAATTTTGGAGAGAGCGGCGGCGCTACCGTCGGTGATGAAAGCGCCTGCGGATGCGTACTAGATGGTTGAAGTCAGTGGATTGATTTAGAGTCATGAAGAAGTTTGTGGTGGTTTGGGAAAAGTGCTCAGAACGAATGTGAGTTAGTTGTGAAAACATGTATGGTGTCACTATACTTACGTCACTACCAGGAAGTAGAAGCATGGTAGATGTTGCGCCCGCTTGACGAATAGCAGTAACAACTGTTTGAAGCGTTGCTGCCCAGGTGGTTATGCTATTCAAATCTATGTTCTCATTAGTTCCCATTCAAGTATTCGTGTATTCATTTCTTCTCTCCTCTTTCCTCTCTCCTCCACTTCACGCTCCACCCCCCTCAAGAAATGGAAAATACACACCATGTGGTTCGTTCATCAATCCAAAAACGACCTTCGTATTCGACTTATACTTCGCCGCCAACTGAGTCCACAGACTCGCGAACTGCGCATCCGTCGGTCCTCCCTGTCCAATGATCCCTCCATTCCACCTCGCATAGTTATGGATATCAATTATGCAGGTAGCACCCGTTGCTAAGCATCCCTGGACCAGCTGATCATAGGTTGCAAGATTGGAGCTGTCGAGTGTTCCCCCGAGACTGTTGTTCACAAGGTATTGCCAGCCAACGGGGAGACGGAAAATATTATGACCAGTTTTGGAGACGAAGTGAGCCATTTGACCTAGGCCGTCGGGGCCATTGTTGAGGCTGCTGAGAGCCTGTTTGGAAGTAGGGTTAGTGAGTAGTTGGAGTTGGAAAGGGGGCAGGAATGCGCACTGGGTAGACTTTGTTGGTTAAACATGTACCGTCTGTTGTGCAGCCGAAATCGAATCCGGCGATATTGGTACCGACTTGAAAATGTCAGTGTGAGTTTTCTATTTGTAACGTTCTCATGAAAATGGTACTAATAGCATGAACTTACTATACTTTGTCTTTCCCGTCGAACTTGGTGTTGCGGCTGTACTAGTTTTCGTACCAGTACTCGCTGTTGCACTTGTAACTGTTGTTAAAGTTGCTATATTGCCATATATTAGTCATTTTATCTTTATACGCTGCTGTAACTTTCTTCCTCTCTCTCTCTCTCTCTCGGAATTAGACTCACCAGTTCCAGGCAAACATTGCGAGTAATACGCATTCACATATGTACACACATAACCCGACGCACATGTCGTAGAGCCAGACCATCCCGTACCACCACACTGTGCGTACGCGGCGCCTTGTGCAGCGGCGGTAGACACGAATGGAACGATTGTGTATAGGGGAGTTGAGAACTTCATCTTGAAGGTATGGAGAGATGGGGCTAAAAGTATGATGTATAAAAAACGCGGACGAGAAAGTTTATATTATGGAAATGCCAAGATATCCATGCGGAATATATACTCCAGATTTCAACCCATCATCGAAACCCGGCACGCTATCACCGGTGTATACATAAGTTTGCTAGCAAATTTCCTGATTATCGCTCGGAATACTCTCCATAGATCCCATTCTCATCAATTCCTATCACCTCACCACAGATCTCCATCCACGGACCGAAACCCCCGTGTTCCAGATTCATTTTCATTTCCCTTCCCCACCAGAAGAAAATATAAGAATGCATGCGCGCTCTATACATTAAATCTCCTAGGTTTACTCTGGTACTAATACTCCACTAATACACGATATATGGGGTATGCGTCATCTTTATCAATCTTGTGATTCTAAAGTGCCATACAATACTGGAGCTTAGCTTAGTTTAAGTACGTGAAAAGTTGACTTGTCGGAAAGAAGACGATGGGGTTCCGAGACGGGATTGCGGGAAGAGTTTCATGTGTATGGGGTTGGGTTGGGCCGAGGGCCGGTAATGTGAATGGGATGAGATGAGAAAGTGGATCCGCTCAATTCATCTCTTTGTTTTGTGTGTTTAATTGTTTTTGTGGGCGGAGTACGAGATAGATCTGGATGGGATTTGCATTCGAATTTCTCTTGAATTAGTGGGATGGAGAAGGAGAAGAATGAAATACCCGGAATTCTATCCAGAGTCTAATCATTATCTATCTGTCAACTTTCCCTTTCCAAAAAATCATCCGAATTCCCCACCACAATCAATACCTACAAACCCTCCTTCCCTCCCCCCTCAAATCCACACAAAAAAATTCCTCAACCCTCGAATTTCCATTCCCATCCCCATCTTAATCCCCTGTACTCCGTACATACATACCGCGGTACCTAGTACATACACGCCAAGCCCCGTCCCAACCCCAACTCTATTCTTATCAATCACAAATCACATCACCATAAGCCGGACCCGCACCGCACCATCCATCCTCGGATAAATCCAGGGGTAAATAACCTTAACATCTTCCCATTCAGCCATACTATCTGTCACCAGGAAGTGCCACATACCCCAGATTTCGGCTATTATGTTTAAACTTTGTGCTGCTGTCTTTGTTTCTACAGCAAGCATATGGTGGAACATGCATTTGCATCTCATCTATCTATTTATCCTTTTTCCCCGGAATTCCAGGAGTACATTTAAATTAATGATATGTTGAGATTAATATAATTTTCGAGGAGCCTAGATAATTAATCAAAAGAAAAAGTTCCGATGCATCACAAGACTCCCTCCCTCCCAAACCTTCATTTAAACATTTGAAACCCACTCTGCATATTTTCTATTTTCTACTTTGTCTCTTTGAATTAGAATTGGAATTGCCCCAGCCGGCAAAATATACATAAGCTATGTAAAAGTATCTACCTGTACATACATGCTATAGTTCAACAAACCCACCTAGATAAGATTACATTCCCCCAACACCAAATCCCCAAATCATAAATGAATTCTATAATCTCACGAAATTCACACATACTATCCTATCTCACTACATAGTTTCCTCTCGAGAATAATTTTTGATAACAAACATATTCTAAATTTCTGAATTTCCTAAATTCCTGATTCCTAGCAATAATACTTCCCTTCCTCTTCTTCCTCCTCTCCCCTTCCCTTTTCTCCTCTCTCCCTGTGCCCTTACCCCCTTGAAACATGTCTATACTTGATATGCTGTAAAAAATATATACCGGACCGGTACTCCAAAAGCCAGTCATTCTTAATATTGATCTATCTCTCAAACCCCAACCCCCAACTCACAACCCAAGCAATCCAAGAAATCTTCGTCTGTCAATTCGCAAGCTGCTGAGTCCTGGGTGCCGGGTGTTAGGTTGTTAGGTGTTGATATATATCGAAGATTAAATACCGATTTATTCATTCATCTAGCTGCTAGGTACCTAGCTACTTATTTACTTTATTTCATATTTGGAACGGAATGGAATCGTGCGGTGCTGTGTGTTATCTCTTTTGGGTGAGGGGGTAGTTTGATGTCTATATGCCCTGATGTTGGTAGTGTTGTTGATATCATTATTGCAATATAATAATTTCAATCTTCATCCCAATATCCCTTCTCAATTCTACGTATCTACTTAAACAATCCAATATGAATATATTATTAAAAAGATTTACTTTCAAGAACAACAATCTGGAAGTACTTCCATGTATTCAGAAAGTACTATCCTCTATCATCTCACTAAAACACTAGAAAGTGCGATTTGTAGGTTGGTAGGCGACTCTTCATTTCCCACACACGTTCAAACAGATATTTCATATCCAACTCTCAAAATTAAAGAGAACAGCTTGTAATTGATATATACAGAAGAAGCGAAGAGATAAAAAGTGTATATACATATTTTAATCGAATCGAATCGAAACAATGACAAAAAGCAATGAATATGTAATGATCGACCATATATCGAAGAACTTCTTTTCTTCTCCATATCACGTTGTGGTTAAAGAATGTATGATTTTTTCATTCCCCATCTCATCTTCATTTTCATCTCCCAGCATCTCCGCTTAATCAAAAGCTTGGATTGGCATTTGTAAGCAATTGAGCAAAGTAAGCCTGGAACCAAGTACCCGCCTCTGGAGCTGGTTGAAGCGCATCTGCGAGTCCGCAGTGGAAATCGTAACGTGCAGCGCTAGTGTTTGAAGTTCCCTGATTGGCAAGTTAGTATATATGTTGAAGAAAAGAAGAGATGGGGATGGGATGTGTGGGAAAACTAACGTCGCCTTCTCCACCGGGCTTGATCCAGACAAATGCGTCTTCCAATGCATCTCCTGTGTTTGTGGTTGGTCGAACACCGAATCCGGTACCGATGAGATTGCACCAGTCACCCCAGGCGAGTTGGGCGGTTGGTTGAACACCATTGCGACCTATTGAGTTGTTAGCATCGTCTTATATGTTTTGAAAAGATATCACTTACTAGTATCAGTAATGAAGTGAGCTGGGAAACCTTGAGCGGTCAAAAGTGGAGCGAGAGCATTAATGTACAATTTCTCGTTACAGTTGGAGTCGCCAGAGGTGTAGGAAGGGCAACTGGTGCTAGTCCAAGCATTGTAGTTTGCAACATTAGTTGCAAGACCTCTAACTGCAGCTGGGCTTCCAGCTGCTTTGTAGACTTGACCGAAGAGCTGTGCAGCTGGTCCGATGTTTGCAGGCCATCCTAACCAACCAGCATGACCAGCATCCAAGTACATAGCGACGTTTGGAAGATTCAATTGTGCGATGGCATACTCGGTGGATTCTAGATAGGCTGCTTGCGCATTGGAACATTTTGCGACTGACAAGTTGGTGACGAGATTGGCCAACGAGTCAGGTTCTATTAGATGGTTAGCCACAAATCTATGATTGCTTGAGATGAAGGATTCACTTACCAATGACGAGGATAACGCTAACATCAGAGTAGGTTTTCAGAAGAGCAACGATGGAATCGATATAAGCTTTGTACTTTACTACACCACCGTCTGCAATGCTATATTCTCCGTTCGAAGCAGCAGCGGCACAATCTCTGTCTGGCAAGTCGTAGACTACGAAAGTGCCTGCAACAGGGGGGTTTGCTCCTGCTTTGTTCAAGGCCCGAATATTGGCAAGGTAAGTTCCCATCAATGGAACTTTAGCTGCGGTGTCACTGAGATTATTAGCTATCATATCCACAATCTGATTAAATACGACGACTTACAGCCAATAAAAGGTGGGAACCTTTGCTACCGCAGCGGCTTTAGTAGCCATGGCTCCAGTGAGTGAAGGAATAGCAGTCGTAGAGATTTCAGAAGCATAGTATGGATTCGCATAAAGTGCTTTTCCTGCGAATGGATTACCAGCAACTGCTGCTGTTGTTGTTGCACTGCTGCCACTTGTGGTCGTGGTAGCTTTGGTGGTAGATGTGATGATTGTGGTGGGAGTCGTTGCGGTGGGAGCTGAAGTTGCTGTTGTCGTGACCGCAGCGCCTGGTAAACATTGAGAATAATATTGATTGCCAAAAACACAGGTATATCCCGAAACGCAAGTTGTTGCGCCAGTCCAACCTTGACCACCACCTGAAAAAGGTGTTAATACCACAATACTAACCAGTAAAGCGTGATAACTTACATTGTGCGTAAGCTGCACCTTGTGCATATACAGTAGGCGCTACAGCAGCAGCAGCAGCAGCGAGGAGAGCATTCTTGAAACCCATTTTGACAAGACAATTGAAGAAGTAAAGATTGTGTGTGTGTGGTTGGATATTCGCATTTTGAAGAAAGGAACAGTCTTTTATATCAGTCGGCCTGAGATATGACTAACCAAGTCGGCCATACAAATCTTGATAACCTAACACGCACTCACATTTGATCATCTATATGCGAGCTGCACCCCAATACCATAACGGAAGTCCGGCGCCGGCTTGCCAGTAGAATTTGTATAGCCTGAGTAGAACTCAAAAGATGTCATGGATTGATCATGAAGAACCTTATAATGTTGAATCCTTGGCAGGACCCCGCGAAATATGATTGGATAAAGTATATGAAACGAGAGGGATTTTACCATAACGACCAATTAAAGTAATACCCAGTATCCAATTAAGACAATTGACGGAAAATCACCCAAACCAAATTTAGATTAAAGAAATCACATACATTTACAGGTACCTGAGCGACTAAGGAGCAACGGCCCGTTAAAGGATTGTATAGTATCATGTGCTATGTGAACTGCCACTTGCTATATGATCTGTATTATACCTTCTGTCATCTTGACGGAAATGGTATTTTGTGGGGTTTGAAGATTATCCCACTGCAAGGACAGAGACCGAGAACGTGATTTCCATGGCCAGGTACCAGATAAAGCCAGAAGAGCATCCACAGTTTCGGAACGTGGGAGAGAACAGCCGACGACAGCTGACACTACCTCTTGTCCAAAGCTCTCGCGAAGAAGGAAAGCAGAATCTAAGGTCTAGATGCAGTAGTCGTATATTGACTTCCAAGCTTGTAAGATATGGTGGAGAAATAAAACTTAAGCCACTTGAAGTTACACAGATCCCTAGGTACTCTCAAGAATCCCAAAACTCAGGCTGACATGAAAATGCGGAGGGAATCTGGGGAAGAGATGAAGATTGTGGAGAAAGGCGTTGGCAAATTTAGCCTATTTTATTGAAGCTACGGTTACCCGCAGCTACCATCTATATCACATGCTCTCAGTTTGCTGATGGTATATCTTTCCTTGTCGCCGGTATACTCAACAATGCAATGTCATATATGATATGCTGAAAAAACACTGACAGAGATTAACATCTTGGCTTGAGCTGATCAGCCGTTCTTCTCTTTATTGTCGGGACGGGAAATCCGTGTTTCGGTCCGGCGGCATGTCACCTTAAGAGTCGATACGTTGGATGGACTTGGAACTTCGATTTGCTGTTAATTAGATTCGTTAGCGAAGATATCTAAAATGTGAACAGGAGACAAGACGAGAAGAGTTGAGATTCTGTGATGTTGCTAGTCAACTATATGTTCTGCATTTGACCAACAAGACCATCTCAGTTATATTTGGGGAATGAGGCAACGAGATTACCAGAGGAAATATGAAAGATAGATGATCTATGGATGAAATTCAAAGTGATGGGATCTGGGTACTGGAAGCTTGAATAATATCCAATGGCTCGCTTATTAATTTCGTAGAGAAATTATGGAGGTTTTTACTCCAATTTCAATGCTATAAATATCTATGCTATGTGATACGAGCCATCAATATAGCTGGCTCTCAGCTAGTCTTCCAAGACTCAAGTACCTGTCTATTTCCCAGTCGCAAACAAGAACATACCACTCATCTAAAACCCATCAACCTTAATTCCCCTCTCCTTCTCCCCCCTCAACCTCTCCTGATTGTGTGTTACCCACCAAGCATGCGTCGCATCCTTACCAATGAAATTTCCCTCTTCATCCATCTCATCCCACGGTTTTGGGGCTAGAATGTAATGAATATTTTTTACTTTATCATCTCTCCAAATTTGAGGATGGACGCCTTCCCATTTCAACGTTTTGAGGGCGTTGTAAATATAAGGAAGTGGCACCCATCGATCTTTGAAGAGATCAGAGAGGAGAGATTGATCTGCAAAATCCATATTGATTGCGGCGTCTGAGGAAAGATGATCAAGGATAGCGTTGTATACGCCAGAAGAAGGGTTGACGACTTGAAGACCACCGTTCATGAAACCGAGAGGAGAGGTATTGGGTGGTGGTCCGGTGGTTTGTGCGACGTCTGGTGTGTTGTGCTGGGAGGTATGAGCGCAGTTTTCGGGAACCCTGGAGGAATGTTAGTATGTCTCTAGTTGTGCCTTTGGAGAAAATGAATAGATCGAAGGGTGAAAATACCAATCAGCAGGATAATGTTTCTTCTTTAGCGGATTGCAAACACACGCATGGCCCGCGGCGAAAACTCTCTGTCCCTTCCCCGCCACCTCCGGCGCATCGAGTTCTAATTCCATCAACTCGTCCATATTTTGTAGGACCAACATATCGCTATCGAGTTGCACAACGCGCTCATATTCGATTAAACTAAAAGGGGCGAGTTTAGACCAGCAGTCGTAGAAGCGAGGATCGTTGGAATAATCCTTTCCGCCATTCTTTGGGAGGAGATATTCAATGCGCTGTTTGGGGATACCACGGGCTTCGAGAGCGGCGTGGCCCTCGGGGGGGAAGGCATCGGTGTAGAGGGCTACGAGAGGATATTTGGAGTTGTGTTTTTTGAGGGAGTAGTCGAGGGTTAGGAGACCGGAGAGGTAGGCGGTGTTGGTTATGAGGGTTGTCCAGACTGCGGAAGAGGTATTGTCAGTTGAGTCATTTTTGATATGATGGGCAGATGTGCCGAATTTTGTACTGAACAGAATAACATACCCTTCTTGGACTCGGTAACTCGTTCGGAAGATGTCATTTTCCTGAAATGTTATTCAACTTCGAGAAGTGTTAAGTGTGAGATGTATTGATTATGTAGTATTGGAGGGGTATATGTGAATGAATCAAAAGAATAAGCACAGCTTGAGTATTCAACTTTTCGTCAAGAAAGGAAGTGCGCAGGAAGTGAGTAACCTTTAGTAATGATTGAAGAGTATTTGTACAGTAGAAAGAAATAGAAGAAGAAAGGTGTGCTTGGACTACTGGCTCCGAATCGATCAAAAGCGGACAGATTCACAGCATCTTTAAATATCCTTAAATATCCTAATGTCAGCCAACCTCCAATATGCGAAACAGTTTGCTACGGGACTCATCCCAATTGCCAAGATGTGAACGCGTCCATTGTTGTAGGTAAAAAGATATCTGAAGTATCCTAATTGAATAATTTACCCACAATTACAGGTTTGAAGAGAAGAATCCGAAGTTTTGAAAGTTCAATCGACCAGCCTTATACCGACCGCTTCATGATACTCGAGTCTCACGATAATCGAAATTCATCCGACGAGTTTCGAGATCTTATAATCCCCCACTTTGAATTCCCATCTGCCCCTCACTTCCCTTGCTTCTGATGGCCGCTTTACTATCCTCAGCTATCCTCAGCTAAGATTATCGCAGTCTTTCCTTCCGTGCATCGCTTCGTTCCTTCTCTGATCAAGCTTCTCGTCGCTGCTTATCTAGCCAATCAGTACCATGTATACACATTGACAATTCCTGTCGATAAGGCAGACCGACCAGAGAAGGAAGAAAAAAAGAAAAGGTCAAGCTCACAGTAACAACTGCCTCCGACTTCGCCAAATGAAATCTTCAAAGTTCAAAGCATTCCTAGTCACAGCTCCACCCAGTTTGGTGGGCTCGCAGTTCAACTCGTCATCCATCCGAACATATTGGATATGATCTATTAATAAGCTGGGTAGCATGCTGCAAAGTATGGGTATTATCAATCTAAAATAACGGCGATCCAAGACCCTTGCTGTGCGACATAACAAATCGAGAATATCCTGCCTTCCAATTACAAGCTACTGTGTGATAATCAACCAAGCAAACGAGCAAGCAAGCTCAATCGATCCATTGCTCGCGAAAAGCTTCCTCCCATCTAGGCTGTCTCTTTCTGTCTCATCGTTGTGGACTTCATTGTGAATTTCAGACGAGGGTCAGACAAGACAAGACAAGACAAGACTTAATGTTTGCAAAAGACTCGCGGATTTGTGACCAGTTAGCCTATATAGGCAATCGAAATGGCTACGAGTGAGTCTGCCACCATGTCGCGGTTGCAAATAGGAGGGAATACTACCGACGGCGGGGAGAAAGTGGTAGAGAAGAAGAGAGAGGCAAAGAATTATAGAGGATTTGTGGCGGGTGTGTTTTCGGGGGTTTCGAAACTTACTGGTATGACAATCTGAGGTTTTCTTGCTTGCGAATTTGGGCACTATTTATATTCTGGAGAGAAAATGCTGGGTGATTGGTGAATGCGAATTGAATTGCCAATCGAGATTGCGATCTATCTTATAATAAGAGAAATTTAAATGCTAATTATATACCATCAACAGTTGGACATCCATTCGATACCATTAAAGTCCGTCTTCAAACCTCCACATCATCTCAATTCAACGGGCCACTCCAATGTCTTCTCCTCACCATTCGCAACGAAGGCTTCACCGGTCTCTACAAGGGCGCCACTCCCCCTTTAGTAGGCTGGATGTTCATGGACAGCATAATGCTCGGTTCCCTAACCTTCTACCGCAAACTCCTCCACCAAACCCTCTTTTCCCCCTCCCGCATGGCCGCCACCCCATCTAGTCTTGCGCGTCCCGGTGATCCCCTCACGCCCTCTCAAATTCACAAACTGCCCACCATAGGCCACGCCCTCGCTGGCGTCATGGCAGGCGCAACCGTAAGTTTCATTGCGGCCCCCGTCGAACATCTAAAAGCACGTCTACAAATCCAATACTCGAGTAAAAAATCCGAACGTCTATATAGCGGTCCCATCGACTGCGCACGTAAAATTTACCGATATCATGGTATCCCAGGTCTTTACCATGGTCTCTCCGCTACCCTTTTCTTCCGTTCCTTTTTCTTTTTCTGGTGGGGTTCTTACGACGTTTTCACACGTCTGCTGTCAGAAAAAACACAATTGAGTACCCCTGCCATTAATTTCTGGGCCGGCGGTCTCTCGGCACAGGTTTTCTGGATGACGAGTTACCCGAGTGATGTGGTTAAACAACGGATTATGACGGATCCACTGGCCGGCGGGTTG